TGTCCTATTTTGGAGTATCCATCACTTCCCAGGGGAGATTAATCCAAAGGATGATCTCACTGTGAAAAAATTTTCTCTTCTGTCCAATCAAAATCTCACCCATTACCCCTTGTCTTTTCCATCTGACTCCTTCAACAAATGAATCTCCATCCTCTCTGTAGCCACCCTTTAAATACTGGAATATGGTGACAAGCCTCCTCTAACACATCTGTTCTCAAAACTGAACAAACACAGATCTTTTTGTATGCAACATATACATTTACATATTTCCAAGCAGTTGACACTGATGTGTTCAGACAAAATCCGAGGAAGAAAGAATGCTGGAAGAAGAAATCAGTACAAAGAGGGACCCAACACCCAACTATTGATGGAGCAACACCAGCACCAGAAGTGAGCTGTTGCTCACCATCCTGCAATCTATGCTGGGATCCCAGGTGGGATCAACAACTCTCCTTGGCACATTCCTGCAGACCCTCAAGCATCCTTCCATGGCAGCTCAGACCCTGCCAGAAAAGTTACATTTCTGCCATGTCCCCTGCCCGCAGTGCTGCTGGCACTGGTCATCTGCTGCTGTCAAAAAAAGGAGGAGGATAGAACACACATGTATTTTTCCTTGCTGGGTGAGGGAGCTGAATCTGCTCACGGAAGGACTGATGAAGCTCCAAGGCCAGGATGAAGTAGGAGGTGGGAGCTGGCAGCTGCAGGGGATGAAATGCAGAAGACAAGAGTAAGACCCAGGAGGATGAGCCTGTTCCCACCTCCTATCAGATCACCTTTAGCCAGTTCTCCTTGAATAAGAAGCTGAAGAGTGTTGGTAGACAGGGACAAGGACCACGATCAATGAGCACTGCCTGCACGGGGTCTTTAACGCCCACAGAAATCAATGGCAATATCTTTCAACCTCAGCCCCTGTCAGATTATGCTTGCAGTGTATAATGGAGGTGTAAATACGAGGAGCAATAAATGAGCAAACTGCTAATTGTGAAGCTTTCCCATGTATTCTCTGTGAAATTAGCAGCGAGTGCAGCTCGCTGGGTGCCTAACCAGACACAAGAAGGTACTTGCACAGCAATTGCTCACTGCTAAAGCCGCTGGCTTTCATGGGGACGTGCAGGAGCACGTTACCACCCACCACACACACATTACTTGAAATTACTGCCCTGAATGACTGCATGTGAATTTTGACTCAAAACAAAACCTAAATCAGGTCTCAAACCTTACCTAGATTATGAAGGGGAAGTTATATAAAGTCATTTGGTAGTTTACACCCTGTATTTTACCTTTATCTCTGCTATTATCAGATCTTCCCCATATTTTCTTCATGTGGCAAGAGACGAACTGCCAGTGTACAGCCCAAGGTAGGAAGGACAAGGTGAGAGCCAGCAAACAGCAAAATGTCAGCAACACCAAGAAAGATGTTAAAATATTTGAAATGGTATAAAAGAGACATAAAAATAAATTGCACAGAAAAATTTCACACCAAAGGATGTTATTTCTCGAGATCAAAACTCCATGATATTTGACTGTGATAGTCCCCTAAAAGAAATGGTGCACCTTTTTTTTTGAGGAACTGAGAATCAGAAAGAGTATGTAGAGTGTGGAGTGGATGCTGGGATGCTGCATGGCCAGGAAAATGGCAGACTTATGTACCTGGTCTCCATCTCTGAAACTGAGATCTCACCATAAAGCACTTTTATCATGAAGAATAAGAGAGAAATAGTTTGAAAAGACTCAAAAAGTTTTCAGCTTAAAGTCTCTGCAAATTAATACACTGTGTAGGAAAAAACCAGTCAAATGTAGTGTTTATTCTAAGCACTTTACTGCCTCAGACTCATTAACCTGGTACCTTACATGTTGTCTTTGTAATGCAAATTTGTTAAAATACTGTGCTTTTCATAAAACATTCATACAGACAAGCTCGCCCTGCTCAAATACCAATTGTAAGTGGAGCAAAAATACACTTATTTTTCCCTAATATTTCAGCTCTACACCTAAGTCTTATCTGCGTAAGCAGTTTCTGAGAAACCTGCTGCTGCTGCTGCCACTGTAGCACAAAGGTGGAAGATTTCCCAAAGCAGCTGATGTAGGCAATTATAAACTGAATTACCACATGCCAAAGCCAAATGAAAAGATGTTGTAGAAGGTACCTGCAGCAGAGGTTTTTTGAGGAAGAGAGATCATTACAGAGAGGAGGAGAGATACCCTGCACTTAAGGAGGCCAAACATTGCACATACTGCACCTGTTTGCTGAGCTTCTATTTAGGAGCCAACTGCCCTGTCTGCAGCACATCACCACAAGAGTTTGCTGGGAATCCTCACCATGGCATGCTGCTCCCAACTGCTGGACATGATACAGCCATCCAGCAGCACAGGGAGCCCAGCAGGAGACACAAAGTCATCTCCATAAGGTCTCCAGCCCAGCTTGACCCACGCAGTGAGAGATGACTCAGGGCTGGAGAGGGCTGAGGAATGGAAAGGTTCCTGATTTATGACTTACACAGCTGTGGAGAAGGATCAAAACATCACCTTCAGGGTTCAGTGTTAGGACAGCACTCTCCCTCCTCCAGTGGACTTAGATCTTGGAACGTGAACTACCACAGCAAAGCCATGGCCAGCTGAGATTCACAATATCAATTGCACTAAACCAAATTCAAATACACAGGATAAATGCAGGAAATTTAGTGAGCTTTTCCTCTTCCCTCCACACTTACCAACTACTTTTGTTTCAAGACAATCTATAACTCTGCTGTCTCAAATTAAATTCTGAGCAACTGCTCTCATCCTGTATTTAGTTTTGAAAACTGTCTTTTCTTTTTCGGGCCTGAATAAGGGCCCACAAACCTGGAAAACGTCTAAGTTTTACAGCTGTACCAGTTGGTCTGACAGAAGAAAATGCTACCTTCCCAGACTTCCCAGAGCTATGAGGCAGAACTCAACAACATTGCCTGAGGTGCCAGAATCATCTGCACTGGTTTTCATCAGGTTCAGAGCTATGACACAAAGGTAACCAACATAAGGCATCTTAACAAGAGGTTTTCTTTATTCTGCATAATAACATGCCAGCCAGGTATACTTCCCAACCTGTCTGCTAGACCTGGTTCCCACTCACCCAAAACACATCAAGGTTCCATTACTGCTCCTGAGCACAGATGACTTCCCAAAGGAAACCAGCTCCTCAGGGGGATGATGCACACATCACTTGGATGCACCCACACCACACAGGCACCACATGGCAAGGGCCTGGAGGCTGGGAACTGCACCCAGGTCGACTACCCTGCAGTACAGGCATAACCAAAGTGAATCGGACTGAACATAAAAATTCTAAATTGTTAAAATAAATAAGCAGAGTCACAAAAACAAAACGAAACAAAACAAAGAAATCTACCCAAAACCCCCTCAAACACCCTCTGCACCACCCAAAGAAAATCTCAAAATCCAACAAAGATTGGGGCAGGATCTATAATCAAAATAAAACCAAAACAGTAATTTTGCATATATGCTTCATAACATGTTAAGAAAATAAGTACTTGTTCAAACACCTGCAATGATTTCTCAGATGCAGAAGAGAGTGAACATACTGAAACCTGCTTGGTTTCGAAATTCAGTTCATTTGGCACATCCTCCACTTTTGCAAGAAAACAAACAGCAAAGGCAGACAAGCCATGGCATGAGCAGCCCTGCACTCTCCTGCCCACCTGCCTGAAGCCCAACTCAGAGGAACCTCCCTGGCTACACCAGCTTGGCTTCATTTTACACTCAGTCCTCAGCCTGCCCATTAAAATGGTCAATAGCAATGCCAGCTGAGAAATGTCCATCACTGGGAACTCCTTTTTACAGGTCACTGGCCAACCAGACAACAACAGCTTCTAGCCATGACTGACCTCTCTGTGACACGAACTGCTGATTTCCAGGAGAAAGACAAGCCATGAGCCATCCATTTTCTTAATCGTAATTAAAACAAAACCAAAACCACTCAACTGTTTCTGTATGAATTTGTTTGTACAAAATAAAAACGTGCAATCATCCTGCTATGTTTCTGGAGACTGAACACTTATGTAGTAAGAATCTGAATGCATTCAGTTCATCTACTGTTGAACAGAAATCAGCATCACAGTCTGGATAACAAAATGTTCTGCTGCACAGACCTCCGAGTAAGCTGACAAAACAGATTCAGATGGGTGTGTCTTATGATGGAAAAATTAGCTGTGATAAAGAATGAAATGGCCCTTAGATATGTTGTTTTCAGAGTCATTAAGATGCAAAAGGAATTAAAAAAAATGCCATCTCCATAAGGTTCAAGCACATATATGAAAAAGCAAATAAACCTGTCTGGATGACTGACTGCAATACTGGCTCTGGCAAAACTGGCTTCTTTAGTTGATCAGTCCTGCTCCCACTGTGCTATACAGAGCTGTATGATGCAAACAGATCTGTGGGTTTTAAGTAAAATGGAGCAAAACCAGCACAACACACACTGAAGTTCATATCAAAGAAAAAAGCATAACATCACTTATTTCCTCTTGCAAACATTTTAAATGTTTGCCATTTGCAGAGATTCTCAGAGACAGATTGCATCTTGTTTGACTCCAGTAAAATGTCTCCTGAGAAAGTCTGCCTTGATCTAAGATTCTCATACTTGGGTTTTAATTTCCAGTCATATTTACAGGAATCTGCTTCCTCCAATTTCCTAATTGAGTGAGAGTGCATGGCTTGAAATATGCCTATGAGTGATCATATGACTGCAAATCAACTATCAACTTAACAAAGAGATACAAAATCTCAGGCTCCAGAAAATAATTAGGCACCCCAGATTTTCCTGCAGCTTCCAGAAGAGCAGATGACAACAACCACATCAACACCACTGGTCTCACTCAGCCTTGCAGCTCAGTGATTCATGGAATAGCTACCACAGTCACCAACGAGATACATGGAAATGACACAACAAACCCACAGCTGGCTGCCTGGGTCCAGTTTCTGCTCTGAGCTGAACTCCTACTCACCAGGTTCTTGGTCCTTGGTGGATATGCACTCTTTGATGGACTCTGTTATGCCAAGACTAGCGGCAGTGGGCAGTGGGCCAAGCAAGGATTCCAGTGCAGGGGGTCTTAGAAGAGTTTCATTTCCATTTCTGCATTCCCCATCTTCATTTCTTTGAGCTCTATCCTTCTCATTAAGTTCATCATAAAAGTCCTTGTTTAAGTGATTAGCAGCTGCTTCTAGTTCCTCATCTTCTGCCTCCTCCTCTCCAAGTATGCTAGAGGCATTATCATCTATAGAATCTGTAAAGGGAAAAAACCCAACAGATCATTGCATACCATCTGTTACAGAAACTAAATAAATAGAGAGGCGCTCACTTAAAGAATAAAAATCTTTAGAGGAAATCTGTAAAAGAAATACACAATATTTTAGTTCAGTGTATGAATACATGGAGTTTCCAGATGCTCTTCGAATTCAGTACCTTGACTATTAAAATGTATTTTCATGACTACAGTCATCATTTAAAATAGAAGCATCATCTTATCATATTAGGTAAAAGGGCTTTGTGAGAGAAGTCAGCTATTTCCTGGTATAATTACAAATTAAAAATAGCCAGTTCAACCTGCACAAAGCCCTTCCATATGGGAAGTCAACTGGGGAATTTGGCGACAGAAGGGTCTAGATACTGGTCCACTGCACTTTCAGTGATAAAAAGAAATATTCTCAGGTGCCAGTGCCAAGCTTATACTGCACCAGGAAAGAAAAACAACTGAAATCATTACTGAACTATCCCTGCAATGAACAATGTGGTTGTTTTGAAGACTGATCTATGAACCACCTATCTGGCAGAGAGAACCCCAACGCAAGACATCTTGTACTATGCAGGCATATATATGATCACATTTATCACCATAATGTTCATACACTTCAGACTGCCAGATCTGAGCTCAATACTATTTAAGGAGTCATAAGACTTTATAGACTTACCATCTTTAGTGAAATTTGCAAATACGCCTTTTGCTTTCGGTCTACTGTTTTCTAATTCACTCTCTATTTCATCTTGGTAGCTCGATATTTCTCCTGTGGTGTTGAAACAAAAATAAAACTCAGCAATCATTGATGCAATATTGAAGAAATGAGTGATATGTTACACTAAACACGACTTATACCTTCAAAATCCTCCAGCTTTTTTGATAATGCCTTTTCAAGCTGAAATGACAATAAACAAAATGAACATGAAATTACTAAAAAAATATTCACAATTTTAAACTGTTTGTGAGCTGTACATAGAGACAGAGAATAGCAGAGTATTTCAAAAGCATAAACAGGTGAAATTGCTGAAATTACTTTGTAGTGTCTCAAAACACTGACCAATTTCGAATGTTATCTCCCCCATCTCTATACTTCAAAATGAGCCTCCACTCTGGCAAGCTGTAAATAAAAGGCCTCATTCTCCAGCAGTCAGACTCTGTGACTGTGCCTGTAGATGTGAGAAGTGCAAGGACAGTGCTGAGACTGCAGTGCTCACATCAGACAGAGCACACTGGGGATGGCAGAGTGAAGCTCTGACCTACAGCACCTGGCTGGTTCTGGAGAACATCACTAACAACCCTACAGACCTTTAAATGATAGCACAGTTAGAACAAGCAAAAATCCTAACAAACCAACAGTGTAAGAACTGACTATGGCAGAAGTAAAACCTTCTCCTCTGCTCCCAGCTTTAGTTCGTGATTTAAAGAAATTAAGCCACATGAGAACTAATCTCTATGGAAGCAGGTGTTGTACCACACAATACCACCAGCAGTCTCACTGAAGTAAATGAGTTACTGTTTTCATTTCTATTTTTAAAAAGTTCTCTGTAATGGCACTTCTCCTGACCACATATATCACCTTAAAAACAGTGCACAGTTTCTGATCCCGTGACAATTTTAACTGGGAAACTATTCCTTTGCCAATAAACCAAAAAATATCTTTTGTTAATGGGTACCATATGCACTAATGCTCATCCCTCTCTCAAGAACCTCAAAATAAATGGACTAAATCTTACCAAGGGCTGGTCAGTTAGGATTTAGCATTAACTAAATTCAAAAGGGAATGCACAGAAGGAGGAGAGAGGAAAGAACCACAAATAGCATCCAATTCAGAATTTACCTGCTGTATTTTCAATTTTTTTTGACCAGCTGTAAATGAAGGAGGATCACATTCTTCTTCCAAGTCAATCTTCATAAACTCATCTATGGTTAGCTGACTGGTTGGTGTATCTTGAAACTCTGTCAACCTACCAAAGCATACAACACATGACCAAAACATCTCTAAGAACTCCTTTGAAAGTAATACAATTTGCAAACTGCCAAGCTATGTCATCCTTAGCAACTCTGGCTCAAACACAGACTGCATTAAAACTGAAGTGCTACTAATTGTTTCATCGGCTGCAAAGAAAGTATCTTTTCATATCCCAAATTAGCTTTTGATTTACTTGAGTATGTAACATACTTTTTTCTTGATGAACAAAGACTGAACAGAAATATTGCAGCCCCTACAGTCAATTAACTATAGACAAAACTAAGACAAGAAACACAGCTCACTCCTCTCCTCTTGTTGCTTTTGTTATCAACAGCAACAACAAAACGGATTCACCAAATAAAGCATCTGTCATCCTAGTTTAGGAGTTTGCTCAAAAATCTTCCTGATATGTCAGCGTGATTAATTTACAAAAAGCAAACATTAAAGTAACATCTCTTCAGCAGGCTGGTGGAGGGACAAGAAATAATCTTCCTAGGACACACAGAAGCAGTGGTAAAATAAATTGATAATTTGCACATCACATAAATTAAATAGATGGATGAACATAATTTGACAATAATAAACTTTGTATTTGTTTAATGTTTGCATTTTAAAAATTCCTACATATGTGAGAGATAGGACTGGCTCCATGGGGAATTGCCATGAAAGCAGATGAGTCTTTCAGACGAATTCAATCTTAAATAAGACCACGTGGTCATAACTTAATCCACAAATACCAGCATTTTATACAGGTGGCTGAGAATAAGCACATCCATTTTACAGATGGAGAAAATGAGACAAAAGGTTAAGTACAAAGACAGGTCAGGAAACGTCTGGCAGAATGCTTCTCTGACAGAAAGTGCCCTTTTAATAATATCAACATTTTCCATGGGAAAATGGCAATGATGGGTCTGCAGCTGCTTCGCTGGAATATTCCCATCTTTCAGAGGAAGCAAAGCTGACAACAGCTTCCATCTGCAAAGCTAGAGAACTAAAAATGGTGATTCAGTGCTCTCAGCACAGGACCTTTCTGCATTTCTCTCTCCCTAAAAACAGTTGTGGTTTTCTCCTCACTTCTCTCCTCTACCTCTGGTTGCAACAAAACTCCTTCCGAAGAAGGAATTTTCTCTAGGACAGAAATTAGTTTCTAGCCACAACCAGGGTCAAAGCCAAGAGCACAAGGCCACATTATCCTGCTATATCCTCATCAGTCTCTGTGTTTGTTCCTTTATAAACTGAGCAGCAAGACAAGACAGCCCATACGGAGGGGTGCAGGCAGGCAGCAACTGCAGGACACTTTGCCTGGAGACATCCCACTCCTGGAGCAGGGGCCAGAGGCAGCAGCTCATGCCATGAAATGCACAGAGAGAGCCAGGCACCTCTGTGTGACTCCAACAGCAAGCAGCACACTAAGCCCATGCATGGCTGTGCCAGCCAGAATTAGTGCTGCTGAGGAGAAGAAAGCCTCCAAAAACTAGACTTGCTTTTGGAATTCAAGCATCTCCACAAAGCCCCAAATTAGCCATGTACTTAAGAGTGACTGACAGCCCAAACCTTTCCCTCAGAGTACCAGGGACCAGCTCCCTCCTCCTCTCTTTCAGATCAAATTGGAAAGGAGAGGAGGATGCTGTTGGCAGCAGCAGCACCCAGCTTTTAATTAAAAGACTAGAAATCTTTCTTGGCGTTAACAGGCTTCCAGCATGCATTACCCACCTTCTAAGAGGGAGCCACATCTATCAGGTTAGAGGGAAAACTTGGCTAGGGCATTATTATTATTATTATTATTATTATTATTATTATTATTATTATTATTATTATTATTATTATTTTAATTCAGGATTCACTTAATGCCAAACTCACGTATCATTTGAGGATCATGGCTCTTCCCAGTCACAATCATTAAAGAACAGCCATCCATCTCTCCATGAATGAATCACATACTCACAGGCAGCCCCACTTCAGCAAGACTCTTCCTCCCAGTCAGCCTCACCTTTCTAAAATATTACTCTCCTCCCAGTGTTAAAAGCCAAGATGCACTTTGGCAAAGACACACAGTTTGTTTATCCAACACTTGCTCTGAGTCTGAGATGAGCTGCCAAAGCCCCACCAAAGCAGCACCACCTCTGTGTGTGCCGAGCAGACAGGAGAACACCAGGAGCAAAACCCATGAAGCCAGGCTGGGGACAAAGATGACCATGCCTGTGTGTCAGCAAACACCTGCAGACACCTGAGGCTCTGTCTGTCCCTCTCCTGCCCACAGTGTCACACACCCTGTACCCCTCAGACATCAGCCCTGGGGTGAGCCAACGTGCCGGAGCCGGCACAAGCTCCAGCCCAAGCACCAGCTCCCAGCCCAAGCCAGAACGGCAGGATGGGTCTCTCCCAACACCTCCAGTGTATCTGCACTGGGACAAGGCACAGCTACATCGTGTTTACTGCCAAGAAGCTCAAACCCACAGCACAGCATGGGTCCATCATCTGATCAGGCCACCAGCACCCACTCCTGTGCCTGTGCCCTCCTTTCCTCAGTCCTGATCCAAGCCAAGCGGGGCAGGGAGGGGAGAGCTGTCAGCATCACACTTTAAGCACAGGCTGGTGGTGATGCAAATTTAGAGCAGCACATGATTTTTTCACTTCTCTCAAGCCCTCAAGGCTCTAACCCTTCTCCCAAAATGGGGAACCATCCCTGATGGTCAGGATCCCAGCTAGAGTATCATCTGCATGGGAGAGCAAGCTTTTTTTTTTCCCCCCCTCCTTTAACTTGATATAAATAAATACCTGCGTTTGCCAACCACTCGCCTGCCTCAACATTTTACATTGGCTGATATCCTGTCTACATATTTTTAAACACTTCTTTAATTTTATCCACTGTTTGGACACATGCCACCACGGCAACAAACTGATGCTGCAGCAGTCTGCACCACATGAAACAAAGCAACATTAGTTTGGCAGTTAAGAAAAACTGACACAACCTTAATTATAAACACAATAATTTCAGGGGCAAGGGAGTGGCTTCATGAAAAAAAAAATAGCTACAGGCTATTTTTAAGTCCCACATAAAAATGCTATTCAAGTTCATTTTTCACTTTTGTTAACCTAAAAAATCTAATAAGAGTTGCCACTTTAAGTTATGCACAGACAGAGGGAAAATAAACAGATATACAAATTAAAATATTATTTCTTTGGCACAAATTCAAAAAGGCTCTAAAAATTGAAATTTGGCAGACAAGGATTTTCTATTTATAGCAAAGCAGAGGCAACCACTAAAGCTCAGGCTAAGATTCAACCTCCAGTATAAACCATCCTCTTACAGTTTCTCACAGCAAACTCTTTCAAGAAAATTCCTTTGGGAGAAAAGTTTTTCCACAGCCTGGTGTCATCTGCCTCTAACACCAACCCCTTTTTACAAAGCAAAATTTCCACAGTTGTTGTTTCATCCATTTAGAGACAAAACCACACCTCTGCTTCTGATAAAGCACTTTTGTGCACAAACCAGTAAACCGATTCTTTTCACACTTAATTTAACTCCCAAAAAGGGAAAATGGGTCAATCCTTTTGAAGTTACATGCAATGTCCTTTTTACTAAGTTTTGTTCCAGGGATACCCTCCAGAGGAGGCTCCTGAATTCAGTCGACAGTGATGGAAAAACCAGATTTGTGTGCGCAGCTAAGGGCTCGGTTTTAATGTTTAATTGAGATTCTGCAGCAGTGGCTGCAACAAAGCAAACAAAAGAATAAGGACTTCTGGAGTCCAGCTCACAAAAGCTTCAGAAGCCCAGGTTCAAAGCCCAAGAGGGATTTCTAAGCAGAGTCCTTCTACCTAAACACAATCAGCATCGAGCTCTAGAAAGCAGGCAGCATGAGCTGAGGTATCTCCATACAGAAGGGCAAACAAATTACAACTTCAGAGACAGTTGTTTTTTTAAAGAGGGAATGTGAGGTTTAGCCTGAGCCATCAGCCTTTAAGTTACCTGTTGTGAGAGGTCTTTTTAAAGTACTTAAAGTGTTTTATCAATGGATTAGAAAAATAATTACCTGAATGTGCCACACTGTTAGCAGAAATATATGAAAAAGAACCTTTAATGCAAGATAAACTGGTGCTAGTAATTGAACTCCCCTGAGTTTTCCCAAATTAACAATATAATTAAAACCATAAGTAATAACTTACATGATATCTACATTATCTTAACTGTCGCATCAAATACAAATATTCAAGCAATAGATCAGCTCATTTGACTCCTCAGACAATTCCAAACTCTGGAAACATAAAGGATTTACTTTTGTGTCTTAGTGAAGAACCAGAATATTGCATAACATCCCCACTGTTTTAATTTAATCCTCATCAGTGCTTCCTGCCACTCCAAACCTGTGCACCCACAGCAGAGAAGCTCAGAATTCACACTGGTGTTCCAACCATCACTGTTTCTATACTAAAAATCTAACAGTCTATTGCATCATCCTTCTCTCCTTAGTTTTTTCCAAGCCATACAATGTTGACACATGAACTATTTATGGAAGTATGTAAACACATGCCCTAAAAGTGATACTTAATATAGAACATATATCTGAAATAGTTATTAAATGTTTCCTTCATGACATAACAAAAAGTTTTCCAGTAGCCACCAGTAAGTAAATAAATAGAAGAGTAATCTGATATGTAAGTACTGTACATATATATAATTTTACATGTAGTTGCAGTAATATAAAAGGTAATTTTAAGCCTGTATGAATGAGTATCTCATTACTAAAGGTAAGGACAAAATCAGAGGTAATCCAGTTGCTGTGGTTTTACAACTTACAACTTATCACCCGAGCTGTGCTGAATTAGTCTCTCTGTTCCCAGCCAAATGCAACTGTTAAAGGGAAATATTCTCACATTTACACAACTTCCAACATTAATACACATCACCTCTTTTTGCAATGGACTAAGAGCATACACACAAAGTCATTTACTTCCAATTAACAGGTGACTGATAATTTATGGGGCTCATTTGCTGGCAACTCTCTGATGTTTCTCTAAGTATTAGGAACAGGTAACTCTAAAGATTGTACTAAATAAAGCACCCTTTAGAATTAGTTCCTGTTACTTACTCACACCAACACAGAGATTTAGAGCTGTCGCAAAATCATTAGCATAAATTTTAAAGCCCTGATTCTACAAATGCTTACACAAGGAGTTAACTTGCATTAACAGCTGTGGTCCACTCTCCACCCATGGATAATCCCACCAGCACATCCCTGGACATCCCAGAATTCTGTCAGTCCAAACCACCTGAAAATTTTTCTTCTTTTTTCCCCCCTGATTCAAATGCTCACACCATGCTAATGAAACAAAATGTGTTTGTTAGCATTCCTTAAAATTCTGCTTCATTAGCATGGTTCCTCTGCTGTGGTCTGTCAAAAACACTCTATGATCTCCTGGAGAAGAAAAATAGAGCTGTTTATTTTCTCAACTGCCACTCAGATGAGCAAAGTCAAACCCAGAAAAACTATTTACAAGATCTAAGCCTGAGTTAGTGCCAATAAGTTACTGGTTGTTTCAAAAGTAAGAGTCACCAAGAAATTTTGAAATTATATTTTTAAGTATGCTGTACTAAAATACATTAGGAATCTAATTAATGTATTAAATTGCAAACTGCATAGAAGCTGGATTTATAAACAGGAACATTGCCTGTGAAATTGGATTCTTTAGAAATAAAACCTTTTTTTTTAATTAAACCAGACAATCCAACTTACAAAGGTACGCAGTATCAGCCCATGTGGATCAAGTTGCATTTTACTCACCATACTAGAAAGGTTTCTAGAAATCATGTGTAAGCCACTTGAATTGATTTAACTGGAGACATGAGATATTTCTCAATTTAGCTTATGGCAGCAGCAGCCAGCAAAGGAGCTGCTTGGCTGCTGAGCTGAGATGAGAGCAGACACCACCACAAGGTCCTTCACATGAAATAAATTTCCTGCCATTCTGAATGCTTCTCTCCACATCACACTTCAGGCAAGAGCCCTTACATGACTCTGACGTTGTGAGCATCCTCATGCTCAAACACCTCAGGTGGCCAGCTCTCACTGATTCACTGGACACCCTGCACAGAATTTTAGCATGGCTGTACTTGGATCACAGCCCAACACTGACTTCTACACACCTTTCCCTTCAGTCCTGGCCTTGATAGGGCTCTGGTGTTTGAATAACAACAACCTCACAGCCACCCATGTCCCTGTTACCTTCCCTTCTCATCCTGACTCCAGACTCCAGGCTCCTCTCTTTGCCTGCTCTCACAGGCATCTGTCCAGCTTGAGACAGCACTGGGAGCTTGGACACGAGGTTTATGCCAGCCACATATTACAGAAATTTAAAAGAAAAAAAAAAAAAGAAAGAAAGAAAAGCTGCAGGCAGTACATTCAGGACATTATCTCTACACATAAATCTTTAATTTTTCCAGAAAATTACCACCTCAGTCATTGAAAGAGCTGTAATAGGGTCCACAGGATATAAGCAAAGGACCCCATTTATGAAAGTTCCTGCAGCATCTACAACTGGCAAATGAAGCTCCTTCATAACAAGTCTTGTCTTCCTTCCCAAAACACTATGATGTTGTGAGAAAAAAAATCTACCTCAAAAACAAGCTATTTAAACCCATTCCAGCCTTTCGTTCCAATTTCTTCTAAATGAAGCTTTGCTGCTTCTGAAGTTCACCATAAATACGTTTATTAGCAGATAGTACTTTATGGAACTGAGAAGAAGTATTTTTTTATGCAAAAAGCAGTTCAATATAAGGATAAAGTACGCAAGTCAAAGCAGCAAAATGCAAATGTTAAGAAAGATTATCTGATTTTTTTTTTTTTCGAATTTCTATGGAAGAAGTGCCTAAGATCTTCAAACAAGCATAAGGGCCACATAGTATTAGATAATGCACAATGGACAAGTATCACAATAATTATTCCTACTGAAGATAACACAAAATGTAGAATGCAGAGAAAGCATGCAAGAGGCAAATAAAAAGATGAAGGTGCAGAGTATTTAAAGGTTAAAAAGACAGAGGTGAAGACAGGTGTATTGAACACAAGCACAAACGTGAGGACTGAACTAAATAAAAGGACTAGGTTTATTAACAGTTACTTTCTGCTACCTCCACGGATGATTACATAGAAAATAACAATTTGACTAATTAGCTAATATTTGTATGGTACTTTGAATATATAAAGTGATATATAAGTTAATATAATTTCAATTAGACTGGAAATGAGATAGAATTATCAGTGCATTTATTAATATTTAATAGGTTCACTTTCAACAACAGCAACAAGCTTTACATTTTAATTGTGTGCTTCAAAACATAAAGCTAGAAGGCCCTGCAAAGTGACTACAAAGTTTTCTCTACCAATATTAATGAAAACCCACTCACATTAAAAATAAACAAGCACTGCTTTTTAACCAAACTGATGCCCAAATTAAGATTGGAAGATGAGTGACAGCACACATGGGCCATGCTTTGTCGCTTTTTCCTTCCAAAACAGATTCTCCTTACGACCAGGCCGTGAATTTTTATGACCTGGAGATACTTCACATTTTTGTGAACCTCCTCCTAAGAGCTACTCCTCCACCAGCTCAGAGCTGAAAGGGGACACAGCCCCTTGGGCTTGGTGCTGTGCAGCTGATGGACACCAGGGTGAACTAATCCAGCCCCAGCAGCTGCACTGCCAGGACCAGGAGCAGTGCCCTTCTCAGGAAAGCCTGCCACCCCTCGCTGAGGGTCTTCCCCAGACATTCCCAGGACTTCCCAATCAGGATTTCTTAAAGAGCATCATTCCTGCATCCACATCCAGACATTCCTGTCCCCCCCAGGCAGTCACACATCAGGTGGGGTCTTCTCTTGCAGATTTCTGCCAGGGGCACCAAAAGCAAACCCAGCTTCCAATGGGTTGTGCTCCCAACTGGGAGTTAAATCAAACCACACAGCAGAACCTGCAGGCTGGAAGTGTCAGCATGATCTGGATTCATGTTGGGTTTCACTTCCAGAGCTGTCAGGGCAAAACCATCAGCAGTGAGCACGGCATCCAACACCTTCATAAAACACAGCAGCAGCTACTCTTTACCAACCAGAGTAACTATAATTAAAAGGAAATAAAACTGCACATCAAACTGAGAAGCAAAGGAATTTCTAATAATATGAAATAAGTTCTTATTCATTTAGACAACTTCTATTTGATGGCATTTTGAAAGGAATTCTTGAAAGAAGAGGGAAAAAAACTGCAGTGCAGAAAGAGTTATTCAAAGGTATTTTTTTTATTTGCCTTCGTTAAATACTATATAACGTGCTCTTATTTGAAAAACATCAATCAAATTTATAGATTCGTGATAAATAGTTGTAATTATAGCTGCCTGAAAATAATTCAGCTGTCACGTTTACCCTGTCAAAGTAAATAAGGCTGTCATTTTAGTTGATGTGTGTGACTTGAGTAAACATTTCAAAGCATGAATTTTGAAGTAAGATTTTCTCACTTGAAACAATTGCTCAAATTAATTTTCCTTCCAACTCTAATTTATTATGCTTATTTTCTTAGTAAGTAGAAACTCTTTAGCTATTTAACCAAAGCATCTTGGAGTAGATTGTGGTGCATAACTCATTAATCATACAAAATGCACAACTAAAACACATGACCTTTTGGCCAGAGAAAAAAAAAGTGGCATTGGTACTGCTCCATCCTTATAGCTGTAGTACCTTGAAGTATTTAAAACACTTTAAATTTATCTCTATTCCACCCATGCACAGTTGAAAAATAGCATCATTCCTGTTCCACCAATGAAGATCTGGGGCAAAAGCATTTTCCACAATTAATAAGTAAATATTTTTAACAAGTATTAGGCTCAGTTGGATGTGCTTAAGCTGATCCCAGCAAGGTGAAGAGAGATACTAAGGAAGCTTTCTAAAGACAGACACTGGGGAACAAACATCAGAATATATTGGTGATAGAAAAATTTCCAGCTGTGGGCAACAGAAATCATGGTATTTCAGTTAGGTCAATTTTAACTCAATCTATGGAGAAAGAGTATGCTACAACTCTTCAAAAGTAAAATGACAGAAACTGGGTATCTGCTTACATCGTTAAACTATGGAAAATATGACCTGATCTTTAAAAAAATAAACACACAAAAGGTACTTGGAAAATTCTCACTTTAAGGGGATCCTTCACTGAACTTATCTTAGTTCACTGTGCTGTCTTCTATTTATTAGCAATGCAACACTACCAAAAATGAACATTTCAGCAAAACATTTTGAAAAATTCAATTCAACTTTAAGATTTGAAAGCTGCTCAATAACAGCTTAAAGACAAGACTTTTCATCACTTGGCTTCTGGATTAATGAAAAAAGTATCTCACAGCAGACGGTCAGCTTTGAAAATCAATAAATTATTTTTTCTGAGGACATGACAATACTGTTAATATTATTGACATAGCATTATTTTGCCTTAAGTCTTCACCTGTTAAATAGGCACAGTGCTCCTTACCATCTTTGCTAAGCATTTGAGGCCTTACATAAGAGGCAAGGTATTAGTACTCTAAAATGACCAGCTAAAACATATACTTATTTGATTCATAGCACTTACAAAAATCATCTGGTTTTCTCCAATATACATTTATTTTAGAATATATCACTGTTCAGTACTGTAAACGGAAGATAAAAGCAGTAAGACTGCACTGACCTTTTCCTTAATGTAGACTCACAAACCTTCACCACCCTGATGACCTCTTTAACAGTCCGTCGGAAATCATGCATTCTTGCTGCCACTAGCAGAGCTAGAGAACAAGTAGGGCAAGTTAATATCAAAAAGAAAGAAATTTCCTGAAGGAAAGCAGAAAACAGGTAACTATCCTCTCTTTGTCCCTGCCTTCAGCTAAAGAGCTGTAAATGCCTTTGCTCAGCTGTGTCCCTGAATATTGGTGATGAACTTAGCTTCACAAACTTTGCTTTCTAGCCACTAAGCCAAGTACAAGTTGCACCCTGAAAAATTCTGTGCTTTAACATTTGGGAAACCATGGTCATCTACACCACAAGAACATTTCAATTATCACTTATTTTCAGTTACCATCTTTTAAGCCGAACTCATTGAATCCTGTTCTGCATAAAAATATCTCCACAGAAACACTGAATGTGGCAAAGCTGGTTACTCATTGCTGCCACTACTGTCCTTGTCTTGCTGGTGCCCAAGTGCTCTCTGCAAGACCCTCTACACAGCCAGATAACCAGTTGCATTTACATGGGGTGTTGATACAGAGCACCAGCTCTGCTTTGAAGCACCACCCCCACTCATCATACAGTAGTTCACTGCACAGAGCGGTTTTAAGCATTAAAAAATGCTTTTTTGTAAAGGAAATTAAACCAGAGCTCTACTTCTGGTATGTGTTTAAAGTGCTCCTAACAGGAACATCAGGTCTGAGCAAGTAACGGGTCATTTGAGCTATGTGTGCCACAGACTTTTAAGCCAGGGCACCAAACTAAACCCAGCCCACAGCTCAACATGTGAGCTGCATATTGCATGGATGGATGGAGGGGGCTCAGCACCACCTGCTTCCATCTATTGATCCGTGTCTGTTGAATTAAATTACTTGCTCATGTGGATAGAGTCCATGCAGTGCATCAAAGAGTAGACTGCTCTCCCATAGTCTATACTCAAATTTTTAGCCATGTACAACAATCAAGTACTATTAACAAAAAAGGGGCTATAAATGTCAAAAAAATTGCATACTCCTGGGTTCTCAAAGGTTTGAGCATTACTTCTCATTCATGCATACACATGTAAGATCTTTCAAATAAAATAAAAGCACATACATGAACTCTGTGACTATGTACACTCTTTGTTATTGACCCCACTGGCTACTATCTTTTATCCTGGCCCTCCCAAATCCATAGGTTTTATGCAAGAATCATGACAGCAATGGATCTTGGAAAAAGATGAAGAAAGAGAGAAAAATAATTTCACAAAACGGGTCAAAGAGGGCACTTCTTGCATAAGACTCTGTGTAAAGACACAAATCAAAGTGCTTGCACTAATGGTGTCATTTTAGCTGACAAAAAAACCTTTTAGCAGCTAGAGCCTGCAGAGTGGGGGCAAGAAAAGCACCAGAAAGGAGCCTAAAAAAAATTTCAAACTGTAAGCTACAAAGGGTCTGAGCAAGTACTGTAGGAGCAAGGGAAAAAAATGAAGTTATAGTTCCAGAAACTATTTCGATGAAGTCCTATATAATCTGTAGATGCCTGACAGAATAAACCCCTTAGAATGTGGATATCACCAATGAAAAGGGGAAGTCCTCAACTGCTCCAGGCGTTCCCATCCCACCTGCCGGGCCCCAGGCTCTGACACACCTGCCCCGCAGAGCCCCGAGGGCCGGCGCCCGGTGTGCATCCAGTCCCTCTTCATCCTCTGCAGCAGCCTCAGCGCCGTCATGGACACCTCGTGGTTCTTATCCCCAAACTCCAGCATGTGTGCAAAACGGGGAATATACAAACACGGATCTGCAACGGAAAGGAACACAGTTATGTCTAACCCTAACATCAATTTAGGAAATGCAGGGCAGCGAGGCTGCTGTGCTTGTCTGGCTTCACCTCAGCAAGCACAGACTGTGCTGCCAGGCAGATGCTCTACCACTAAGCTTTAAAAGTACTTTTTTAGATAACCTAAAGCAAAACAGTTTCTTGCTCTATGAACAGGAGATCTTTAAAGCACTGCACAAACATTCTTACACATTATTCTTCTTTTCAGCAGCCAAGTCTGCACACACTGACATGTGAGCAGTGTTACTAGTATCAGGGAAATCATGCCCAAAGTGAAGCATTTACAAAAGCTTTTGCAGAATGGGGACATGATTAGGCGAAAGCTCCTAACATCTCTCGTCTAATATCTCTCAAAAAGTAACAAGGTAATTTGCATGTTTCATCTGCTACTAACTAAGATAGAAAAAAATTCATTCGCTTAAAATCCTCCCTAACAAAAATCTAGTTACCTTCAATGCTCATTCCAGCTGCTTCTCAGACTCATATTCCAAGAATACAAAACACTGTTTATTACAGACACTAAGGCAGACTTCCATCAGCATAAAGTGCTGGAACCCAATTAACATCACTAGCACTATGACAATTTACATCGGCCACAGATCTGCCTCCAGATGTATAAACTTATTTCAAGCGTTGGTGTTATCAGCTTCAAACTAACCAAAATATGTCAGTGCAGCTTGTGCTCTGCCTAAACCAATTTATAATTTATCAAACAATCTTGTAAAAGCTACACTTAACACATGTTTACTCTTAGTTGAGATATCAATTTCTCATTTCCTGCCAGCCTTTTATCACTTGACCGAAAATCCATGATGTACGGTAAATTGTTAACTATTAGTCTCAACTCAATTTCCTCTGCTGGTCCCCTATGTGGGCACTTAAACCGATAAAAATTCAGCTCAAAACACTGAAAAAATCTTAGGGATTTACAACTAATCAAAGCAGTTTCATTTAGTACCAAGTTCTAACAATGATGCCCTGTTGCTATCCATAATTACCAAGATCACACCATAGGTGATAATGCCTGTCAGCCCCGCAGAAGCATTTAAATGAAAGCACTTAAAAAGCAAGAACTTCCAACCTCAAACTCCCTCAAAACGGAAGAAATTCCAGGATGCAGTCCCCTCCCAAACACGACACGAAAAATCAAAGGTTTAGGAGAACTTTAGCAATCCCCATGATTCTAAGGACAGGTGTTCTACACTTCCAAGTATGATTTTATGAAGCTCTACTCTAGAGAAATTACATATTCCAAGTTAAAGAACAAAAGACCCAACCTTTCAGTAGCCATAGCCTGGAGTTCAATATACATTTAAACTTTGCTCTTGGCGCTACAGGAACACGTGGGATGTTACAAAGCAATGCCTGGTTCACTTTTCCATCTCTTCTTCTCCCGAGAGTGCTCAGCTTTGGCTCCTGCAGCCACCAGAACGGAGCAGACAGAATTCTAGCCACATATTGTTTTAAATATCCATCACTTATTTGCACCCCCCACTGGGTTACAGAATTACAGAGGTAAGGAGTTCCAGCACCAATTCAAATGGAGATAATTAAATATCTCCCCTAGGTCTGGCCCTTATTCTTGCCAAGGCCAGTGGTAAGAGCCATACCCATGGCATCCTAGTTTCTATCACCAGCTTCAGAAAGTGTTTCTTTTTGTCCATTCATTCTTTTAACCTGGCCCAAGCTCTGGGGATGCCAGGAGATAGGGAGGTTGCATTGTTCTCCTAAAGCAGTCATAACTCCTTGAAGGGTCTTTCCTGTAAAATGCATTCCCCTATCTGAGTCTGTTGCTCCCATAATCCCATATCTTGGAATTATTTGTTCCAAAAATACTTTAATAACTAATCCTGTAGTTGCTGAAACAGTTGGAAATTCTTCTGGCCATCCTGTTAGCTGACATACTATTACCAGAAGATATTTAAACCTTGCCACTTGGGGCATTTCGGTAAAATCCACCTGGCATCTTTGGAATGGACATACAGCCCAAGGCCTTCCTCCCCTGGCAATTTTCTTTGTAAGCCTATTATTGGCTTTAGCAGAACACAGGTAACCTTCAATAGCTCACTCTGGAGACCTACAACAATTACACTTACCACTGTTAGGGGTGCCCTCTAGAATTGGACTGAATTAATAACAGTAGTATATAATGCAAACAATTAGGCTCAACTTGAGGAAAATCCCCTTTACAGTTATCACTCGTCCATCAATCTGTTATTTATGTGGAGCCAAACTTTACAGGACCAAACTTTGGCCAGTTTAATAACACTACCAATTGGATCAGAATTAGTGCCATTCTACGAAACATGTCAGATGGAAAATTCACCACGGACCTCACCAGATTGCAAGGAGCAACTCTCAGCTCCCTCTCTGGAGCTGAGTTTCAGAGCTGAATTTCGGGAGCATTTACACATTTGCATTGCAGCTATTCAGACACTTCTGCTGGCATTCATGCCCACAGGTCATTTGACAAAACATTGCACATCGTTAATTTGAATACTGAAGCTACCAAACAGTCAGAAAATGAATACGTGGGTGGGTTTTAAATAGCAAGCCTCAAAGAAACCAAAAAAAGTAACAGTGTATATATAAATCAGAGGCTGAGCCCAGGTTAGCATAGACAGGTCCTGCAAGGATGCAAACATTTGAAAATAAATAAATAAGAAATATTAGGAGCTGCAAACCCCAAACACAGTGCTTCGTTCCAGGAGCACCAAACCAGCACGGGCGCACCGAGGGTGTCCTGCTCGCAGGAGGGTCTCCTTTGACTTTGGGTGACCTCTGGGGCTGCAACCCCTCCACACTCGAGCAAGTTACAGTGGGGCAAAACTCCGTTGGTTTTCCTCAAAGATGTTGTTGGGGGCCATGAAGCAGATCACAAGAAAAGCATTAGTTCATGTTTTAAGAAAGGAGCATTCGTTTTGCTGAGGACTTTCCTTTTTCTCCTGATCCCAATTCTGACATGGAACTTGGACTTTTAGGAAGAACTTGCCATACAGTCTCTAAGAGGGACATAAGAAAAATTTCGAGTTGTGCTCGAAAGAGTCCTCCCCACGAAAGCGGCAGGGCCCGCCGTGCAGCGGGACCGATCCGCGCTACAGGTCGCCCCCAGGGAACGGGCACAGTGCGGGGACAGCTCTCGCCGAACGATCCCGGAGCACGGCCGGGACGGCCCGGGAGGGCGCGCACAACCGGGACACGGCTGCTGCGGGGAAAGGGGAGGAACCCAGCAGCGTCCCCCGGCTGGAGCAGCCCCGCCACTGCCGTGTCCCCCGCGCCCCGGGCGGCGGCCCCGGGGGCAGCGCGGCTCCCCCGCCCGGCGCAGCGCGGAGCGGCGGCGCCCCCGCCCGGGCCGCCAGGGAACGGCGCTGCGCGCTCGGGGCCGCCCCCTCCGCGCTGCCCCCGCGTTGCCCCATCCCTCCGCGCCCGTCCCGCTGCGGCCGGAGCGGGGACACCGGGCGGTGCCGGGGGACCGATGGCAGGGGGACCGCGGGGCTCGCTCCCGGCGGGTTCCCGGCGCTGTGCACGTATACTCGGGGGGGGGGGCGGATGACGGGGGGGCGGGGGGCGGCCCTTTCCCCGCCGCGCCCCGGCGCTCGCCATTGGCGCCGGTGGCCGTGACGCGCGGCGCGGCCGCTGCCTCTTAGTGCGGGAGGCGGAGGCAGGGCCCGGCAGAGCCGCGCTGAGCCCGGCCGCGCAGCGCTGCGTCCCACCGCCAAGGGAGCGCCCAGGGCAGCGCCGCATCGCTCCCGCCCGCCGCGGAGGAGCCGGGGCGCCCCGCGGGCAGCAGCGCCCCTGGCGCGGGCGGGAGGAGCGCGGAGCAGCAGCGGCGGCGGCGGCTGCCGCGGGGACCGGAGCAAAGTTGGTGCGAGCGGCGGAGGGGCCGCCCGGGAGCGGGACTGCAGGGAGCCGCCGCCTCGGCTCGGCCCGGCCGCCGCGGATGTGCCCCCGCCGGACCGGGAAGGACGGAGCGGAGCGCTGGCAGCGGGGATCGGGCGGCTGGCTGCGCTTCACCCTCGCCGGGCTGCTGCACTCGGAGGATTTGTGGATTGACTGTCGCTCCTGACCCACCGCCTCTGCTGGATTCCTGGGGTTTTGTTGCTGGATTTTGCCTTTTTTTTTTTTTTTTTTTTTTTTTTTTTTTTTTTTTTTTTTTTTTTTTTTTTTTTTTTTTTTNTTTTTTTTTTTTTTTTTTCCTTTTTTTAATTTTTCTCTCCCCGTTCCTCGGGGAAGGAACTGCCTGCCGGCCCCGCTCGGGCTCCCCGCTGCAGTCGTGGCAGTGCCGTGGAGGCTGGGACCCCCCCTCAAGCCAAGGTGAGCGCTGGCACTGATCCGACACAGCATCACCCCTTTCCTCCCGGAAAGGTGCGTCAGGCCGGTAACCAAAGAGCGGGCACACACTCCAAAAAAACCAAAGGCCACCCTGCATCTAGAAGCGTACAAAATATCCTGATAGTGGGACTCGCATTTGGGATCTGTTAGTTCTCTTGCTCATGCCACTGCCCCATGGTTGCCTCAATGGCAGGATCATGAAGTGTTTGACTTTTTTTCTTCTGCTTCCAGAGACCTTAAAGAAGTCCAAAAAGAGTGTGAGGTCAAACGGCAAGGTGCCAGGATGCTATGAGATAGTGCCCCTGTCCCTGAAGAAGAAGATGGCTGCAGAACTTTACCCTGCCAGCACCAACACTAACATTGCAAACAGCAACGCCGCCGCCGCCGCCACCGCTGCCAACAGCAAGAAGAACGCCCTGCAGCTCCAGCAGAGCGCCCAGCCGCCCCCGCCGCCCCAGCTCCAAAACCTCAACAACAACAACTTGGAGAGCGCCAACTGGCAATCCTTCCATCCCACGCTGCGGGAGAGGTAAGGGCCAGGCCCGCCGGACCCTCCCCGGGCGGGCGGGAGAGAGAGAGAGAGAGGCGCCCGCCCTGTGCACCTGCGCCCCGGCCAGGCGAGAGCGCAGGGATGGGCTGGAGCCCCGGGGGCCGCCGGCGGGAGGCTGGGGCACCGGGCGAGGGGCAGCCCGCGGCTAACGGGGCTTCTCCCCCCTCCCCTGCTTGCAGGAACGCGCTGATGTTCAATAACGAACTCATGGCTGACGTTCACTTCATCGTGGGCCCGCCAGGGGCATCCAAGAAAGTTCCTGCCCATAAGGTTTGTGCAGATAATTTTTGGCTTTTTAATGCTGCTGTGCAGGTCGCCTTCTCCCTCTGCCTTACAACTAGGTTCCACTTTTTTTTTTTCCCTAATTATAGCTCTTGTCTAATCCCAGAAGTAATTCACGTACGCTGAAATTAAAGGGAGCAGTCTAAAGCAGTGTTCTGCTTCCACTGCAGCTTGTAACTTTCGCTAAATGTAGCTTTTAGGAAAGCCAGCACGCTCAGCTGTTCCTGATCCATGTTACTGAGGCTTCTCTCTCTTTATTTTCCAGTATGTTTTGGCAGTTGGTAGCTCTGTCTTCTATGCTATGTTTTATGGCGATCTCGCAGAGGTCAAATCTGAAATCCATATACCAGATGTGGAACCTGCAGCCTTTCTAATCCTATTAAAGTAAGTGGCCACTACAAGTCTGCTAATTACATGGACAGAATCAAAGTAGCTTATAAAATATACATCTCCTAATTGACATTGTGCAATATGCACTTACTGCTGTTTACTTAATGTGCTGACAAATAATGAATGTCAGATTCACTGCCAGCAAAGACGACTATAGATTATTTTCATGGCCTATTTTTTTTTTCCCCCCGAGAAACTAATGTTTTTTCACCTCCCGTCTAGATACATGTATAGTGATGAAATAGACCTGGAAGCTGACACAGTTCTGGCTACACTCTATGCCGCCAAGAAGTACATCGTGCCGGCCCTAGCAAAGGCTTGCGTCAATTTTTTGGAGACCAGCTTAGAAGCAAAGAACGCTTGTGTCCTGCTGTCTCAGAGCAGGCTCTTCGAGGAGCCAGAGCTGACGCAGCGCTGCTGGGAAGTGATTGATGCTCAGGCAGAAATGGCACTGAAGTCAGAAGGCTTCTGTGAGATAGACCAACAAACACTAGAGATCATTGTAACCCGGGAAGCACTCAACACCAAGGAAGTGGTAGTTTTCGAGGCTGTTCTCAACTGGGCAGAGGCTGAATGCAAAAGGCAAGGGCTGCCGGTTACGCCACGCAACAAGAGGAATGTATTAGGGAAAGCTTTGTACTTGGTGCGGATTCCAACCATGACTTTGGAAGAGTTTGCCAACGGAGCTGCCCAGTCCGACATCCTCACCCTTGAGGAGACTCACAACATATTCCTATGGTACACAGCCGCAAATAAACCCAAATTAGAGTTCCCCCTGACGAAAAGGAAAGGACTCGTGCCTCAGCGCTGCCATCGGTTCCAGTCGTCTGCGTATCGCAGCAATCAGTGGAGGTACCGGGGGCGATGTGACAGTATTCAGTTTGCCGTAGACAAACGGATATTTATAGCAGGACTGGGATTGTATGGGTCAAGCTGTGGCAAAGCTGAATACAGCGTCAAAATCGAACTGAAGCGCTTAGGTGTTGTCCTTGCTCAAAATCTGACAAAGTTTACCTCTGACGGCTCCAGTAACACCTTCTCTGTGTGGTTTGAACACCCTGTGCAGGTTGAGCAAGACACGTTTTACAATGTAAGTGCTATTCTTGATGGTAACGAACTCAGTTACTTCGGACAAGAGGGAATGACTGAAGTGCAGTGCGGGAAAGTGACATTCCAGTTCCAGTGCTCCTCGGACAGTACTAATGGAACCGGAGTACAAGGAGGACAAATACCTGAGCTCATTTTCTATGCATGATGCATTTCACCTTGATTGTATTCCAGTGCTGCAATGATGCACATTAAGGGATTTTTTTTTGGTTTTACTACGAACTCTGCAGCAGTATGGAATGTTATGCTACTTACCTATCTGCTACATCAGGCTATACAAATAAGTGAAGGAATGCTCTTGAATTTAATCTTATTTTATTTATTCATAAGCTATTTGACTTAATTATTAAGACTGCAACATGCAGAAAAATGTTAAATTTTGCACGTACTGTGCATTTATTTTGTATATAGATAACTAACTTGCAGACTGCAGCTGATTCAAACAGAATGTTCTAAACTAGAGCAGTTTATGAATCTGTGAAATATAAAACATTTTTACTTGCCCTAAATCCTGTGTACTTGATCTTTGCTGACCTTATGGCTCGTGTGTGTTAATTCATGTACAGCTAACAGGGGTGATGACACTGTAGTCTGGTCCCTGTGTGTATCCACACCCAGCAAATAGGAACGTTCCCTCTCTTGATAACTGAAACTATCCATCAGCAGCCTTTATTTTCCCTTCGTGAGAAAAGGAGCTGACATTTCAGGAAGCTCAAGAGTTTTTTTGTGTTGCCCAAGCTGAAGACAGACAAACCATCAGTGTAGTCAAAGCTGATCACAATCATCCTGTGGTTATATTTGAAAACTCCTAATGCCCCTTCACATGCAGCATCTCTGTTACCCTCTAGCCTGCCCACCAAACATCAACACTGCCACTTGCACCTGTCAAACTACACCCCCCCTTGAATAGCCAGAGTCAGTACACACAGATGAAGTTAATTAATTCAGTGGCATCACAAATTTAGCCCAGGGCTGTATTACTGGCAGACACTATCTGAATTTACATCCCATCCTTATACGGAGCAGCAGGCATTAGAAAAATACTTGCAAGATGGTGTTTAGGGTCACTTAAGATTACTAATTAGAAATAAGCCACCTTAAAAAAGGGCTGTGGGATCTTTCCTCCTGCTCTTTTTTGGAAAACACAGTCTCAGGCATTATCAGCAATCATTTTATGCTAGCACTTTTCTCAGAAAGTGATGAAAGTACTTGTTTTTCTCAAAGGTCTCATGATCATAGCCGAGCCAATTAGAAATATTTACTGGATTTTGTAACTCTTAGGATGAGCTTGGAAGAGAGTACTCAACAGTCTAAACCCGTATTTTTTCCGTGTATAACAAGCACCTCTACATCTAACATTTTTGCCTTTTCCCAAGCTGTATTAATTTTCACCTTGAAACTAAGCTGCAATGCAAATCCTGCCTGTTTTCTCTCTCTTAAAAAAAAAAAAAAAAGGACCAAGAAAGTACTGAAAAATAAGAATAGACCTCTCTAGCAGAGCTGGAGCGGCACGGTGCCGCACTGCCCGTGCTGCTGTGGTGATGCTCCGTGTGCAAGCTGCTGCTCCCCTTGCTGCAATGGCAGCAGTCCTGGGCCAGCCCGGAACAGCTGAAGGGGGTGTGCCTGTGTTGTTCTGCAACACAGCCATCTGATTCTCTTACATTAAGGAGAGTGGGAGTGAGAGTGGGTAAAGATGCAGGCAGATAATTCCTACACAGAGGTGGATAACAGTCACAAGACCTCACGATAAATGCACCCTTTTAACTGGAATTGGCACAAATCCCCCTGGCTTAAACCCACAACCTAGAGAATGGTTTCTATACCCTTTTGACAGGTTAAAACCCACCTTCCTATCACAGTTACGATTTCAGTCTTGACTTACTAGAAGTTATTCACATGTTTGGAAAAAGTTGCTCCTCATTTTCCACCAAGCCACTTGCATTTCAAGCACTGAACAGCTCAGCTACAGGTGATGGATAGATAGTAAATTTGGCAAATACTTATCAAATGTTGCATCTGTGGAATTGAAGCGTGACAGGCCTGTAGGAGCTTGCTGACACACAAATTTGTTATGCGTCAGTCCATTGTCTTAGTATAGCCCAAATTACTCTTGGAAAAAGCAACAAAACTGTTAGCAAAAGAAAACAGCATCTAGTTCCAAAAAAGCTCTTACATAAAGGAGAACAGGCTCCTATAGTCAGCAATGCTCCTCTGCCTGGATTGACTCCAGCTTCACTATAAAGTTACTTACTTGGGTATTAACATACAATACCATGTATATATACATACATACATACTATTTCAAGTAACCATAGAAAAAAAAGACTCAAATAGTCAAAAGTCAAATCATTAAAAAATACCTATGGCAGGAGCATTTATGCAGAGTTCTCTGGCCAACACAAGGAAAGTTTTTCCCAGCACATAGACATTCACCTATTAAAAGACAAAAAAGCATTATGTAAATCTTAAACCACAAATGTTTTTAACAGAACATTTATATGGAAAGGAAAAAACCCCAACTTTTGAAATCTTAACCTACTTTGACAAAAATTCAAGTTATACAAGCAATATTCATATGTACAGGATAATACTCAGTGCTTGTCAAAATCTGCACAAATTAGCATTGTAAATCAAAACGTAAGTTTATATTGAAAAATTATAAAAAAGTTGTTCATCATGCTCTTTAGTGGGCTCAGTGCTGCTCTGTAGTACAGTGTTTCAGCTGTCACGTTACATCATAAGGCATTAAGTAGACTTCAATGTGATACCAGTATGCATATAAAGTGTCATTTATCTTGTACCATTAGAAAACCTGAGCAAATACAAGTCAGTGCAATTTTCGGTTCTGCATGATCATCTGTAGTGGCATAATTAAATATTGCACAAGCACACACCAAACTTTTCACCAAATCAAGGAGTGGTGCTACATGCCCCAAGGGTTATTTCTCATATCTTGCTGTTTGGACATTGCCTCCAATCACATTAAAAATATTAGGGACTTAAAAAAAAGCCCTAAACCACACCAAACCTGCTCAGGCACCAGGGACAGAGCTCTGCTCCTCTCCCCTCCTTCACTGCTGCACCCAGGAGGATGTAAATTGAGGGGAGGAGCTACTTTATATACGCTGATTTTCAATTTATAGCACAGACAACCATATTTGTATTATACAAGTCTGAAGAAGTTTTCTTTCTCTATCTTAAGATATGTTTTTGTGGTCAGCAAGAAAGGCAGGATATTCTGCAGTTCCCAATCAGTCTCAAACATTCCCACGGAGCTCGGTGAACACCTTGCTTCCCCCAAGGCATATGTAAAGGTCAAGGTTAGTATAAAAAACTCCATCCTCCTACACTCCAAGCAAGTAAGTTTCTAGTTTGTTTTGAACAATGGTATATAGTCTATTGCTTTTATGGAACAAAACTGCCCCTCTTTTTCCTATGCCTGGATAGTGAAGGTGTTTACTTAGCAGTCAATTACACAACAGAGTGATGATGATGGTTCAAGCCTATGGAATTAAAAAACTATTGCTCTTTCCATTTCATCAAAGGGCTTTGCCAACATTAGTTTAAAAGCAGACTTTCCTCCCAAGTGTATAGATAATTCTACCAAACTAGCTAATATATATAATCTCAATAACAACAACCAAATCCCCAAACAACTGACATATTTTCACCTAGCCCTTCAAAATGTTTACGTGAAAATGTTCTTAATGTGTATTTGTCTCAAATATATAAAAAGATCAGAAATCAGAACTTCAAAGAAATCCTCAGAATAATCACATATTCTGAAAGTGACTGTGCAATCAATTATACATGATACGATGGTAATTCATTCCATATTTAGTGAAAAGTGAAAGTATTCCATGCTATGTCTGACCAATGGTTGGACTGGCCTAGAAAATACAAAAATACAGCCTTAAATTTTACCACCATTTTTCTTCCTGAAATAGCAGATAACATAGAAGTGCTATTCTAGGGGAAGGAAAAGAGCGAGACGTACCCTCTGAATGAGAAATCTCTTTTCTAGGAAATAAGTCACCAAATTTTATACAGAAAAAAATATGCACCTACTGAATCTGGGAACTCATACTGGAACCTGAGAGCATGTGACTTTCCATGAGCCACAGTGACAGAACAGATCTCACTAAAGCAAAATGTCTGCAGTGTTTCAGTTGGCTTTAGAGTCACTGCAAGCTCAAAACGGGTTGTTTTGACCTTTTGTCTAAAAAATATTAACATAAAGAACGAGTGTTTGGCTGCAATTTCAGCCTTCTAAGCTGGCCGACCAAGTTACTATAAATCTTAAACCTCATCACTTAGATCTTGTTCTGCAAGGACGATTTCACTGCACAAATCAATAAAGTTACTTCTGTGGAGCAAAGTACATATGACGTTTCCATTAGAGACTTCACAAACTCATATAGTTCTCTCATATTAGTCTAGAAAAAATCCCATAAAACTCTAATCCAAACAAGTATTTTTCCTTCTAGCCTTTTTCTTTGTCACGACATCCAAATACTTGGTGTTTGTCACCATCAAACCACGTCACTCTCTAAGAAACTCTTCCCAAGCCAACTTTCCACAAATGCAATAATAAAGAGGAAATAAATATTAAGAGGCATAAAGAAGCAGGTATTTTATTCTAGTGAAGTTCTAACAATCAAAGTGATTGCCAAATTAAATCTAAAGCAAAGACAAATGAATAATAAATGTGCTCAATGACTATTTAGCCTTTCCTTGGCCTAACTAATAAAGTCTCCTGATCTATGGTTTATTTGAGAAGTAATGCACTTAAAATCTAACCTGCTTTTCCCCTTCACCCACACCATCTGTTTTATTACTACCAATTTAGAAAGAAAGCAAAATATACAGTACAGTCCATATTCTGTATTGTTTTCCTCATGAAGCTCACACACTTTTAAGCCAAGGTCACAAAAAGAATCAGGAATATTTAATTGATTCCAGTTTTTCTGGCAAATCAGTAGGAAAAAAATACTTCAGGCCCTCTCAAACATGCTTCTCAACTTTAAAAGTTAACAGATATTCACAGGTTCTGGGGCACTTCTCATAAATGAAAAATTAAAGGCAGCATAAAGTTCATCCAGAAATCTGTAATGCCATTGAATTCCTGAAACATGATATCTAAGATCTCCTGGGTTTAGTGGAAAGTGGCCCTTTTACCAAAATTTTATTCTGCTATCACTGATTTCAGCTATTACTCACACATATGCACACACAGATCCCATGATAGAAGAGATATGATAAAAAATAAGCATTTAGAAAAGGTCTTTCTTTACTCTCATCATTTGGTTTTTCTGCACTCCATTAAGCTTAGAAAATTAAGAGAATTAATTTAGAGGCCTACTTTAATTTCTAGTTCCTTCTTCATTAGGAACTTCTTATAAAAATTCATATACTCCAATCCATCAAAAGCTTAACGTTCCAAATTTAGAATCATATGGCATTTGCATTTATAAAACCTAATTTTATATGAGTTCTTAGAATGTTGAATAAACAAAAATGCCCTTCTAAAAGGATGTCTCTGGCTTAAACTTGAATTGGTGCAGCTTTAAAGCTTACCATATCAACTTCAGCCTCTTTTCCCCTTAATTTAAAAGGATCATATTGAGAAACAGTATTTCTCCAAACTCTCCCCAATCAAAACTGTTGAACTGAGACAATTGTTTTATATAATTTCAAAAGAATTATGCTCTTTTCTTGCAGATTTTCACCAGATATTAAAATTTCCTAAACTTGATGCAATCACTAGGTTTAAGCATCAACACCTAATGAAGAAGAGGGGTGTCAACTTCTGTTACAGGGGAGATTTTAAAATATCTGCATACCCTGATAGTTTTTACCATACTCTCTTACATTCAACTCATATTTAACAGAGTAAGTTTACATGCATGTGGAATCATCACAGATTTTTTTATTTTAAAAAAGGCAAAACAATAAAACTTCTTTAGCATGAAGACATTTTTCAGACAAAGTATGTGCTTACCAAGGCACTGCAAAAACCTCTTTTTACAGGAGACCTTAAGATTCTCTAAGATGTTGTCCTTTACCAATAGTTAATTTCTGTTCTCATTATCAAACACATTATGTTAATTAAAAGGGGCATTTAGTGAAGGAATGGCTTCCAATTATTCAGTTACATCTTCACAACAGGATCCTTCTACTTGTTATGCTCTTTGCCCTTCACAGTATTTTTTGGAGACAGTCTTTTCATTTCCCATCTGTCAGTCATCAGACACTGATTTCAAAGGGACACTTCCAGAGAGACTCTTATCCTTTCATAATTTCCTCTTGCTTTCACATTATGCCTGATTTGTTCACAAATACCAATATCATTCCACTTTCAGAAATAACAGCAAACACCTCATTTCCAGTAACACAGGAATTCATCAGTCTAACACCTTCCAGAATTTTAAACTCTCCTGGGGAATCAGGGGATCTCCCATTCATACAGTTACCAGGTCACATTGATTTCTGGACAGTAGCAAAAAATACAGCTGCCACCATTGAATGGAAGTTTTTGTTTTACTGTAAGCTCCATAAAGTTATAAATCAATAACCCTTCTACAAGCGATTTCCAAAAAGGCTTTTCAAGACCACAGTGTGGCATTCTGGCAAAGTATTACAGAATGGTGACAGTGGTTAAGATATTCCTCCAGAAAGACAAAGACCGGGCAGTTGGAACACGATGAGAATTCACACTGTGAAACATCCACGGCTGCTTGCCTAAATAATTAAGCAAGCATGAAAAGCAAATGAGTTTTTAAGGAGAGTGTCTGTTGCTGGGGAAAGAGGCACCTGTGGTTATTTGATTCATTATTAACATTTCTAGTGTAGTAATGCCTGAAGGTCCCAAACAGGTTGTTTAAATTAACTCAATCAACAGCAATTTGCATAGGGGCAATAAAGGCAAATACAGCCAACATGTTAATAACTTTAAATGAACAAAGGGTATTAAAAACTGAAGCAAACCAGTAGTCTTTAAAAGAATTCTCTATTTTACCTTTTTCCAATAAAAATAAACTGCAATAAACTGAAACTTCTTAAATTTTTGATCCATACTGTATTTAGAGCAATCAAAAGGTAGCACACAAAAACACAAACAAGTACCAAACTCAGATTGTCAGGCTGTCGTTCAAGAGACACAAATCAAAATTAAGCAGCTTCCCTCTCATACTGGGCTTTAAAGCTCTGCCTTCAGTCTGGAGGCTCCAAAGGAGACTCTCCTTCTGCTAATCACATCCACGGCAGGCCTGGAGTTCTTCCTCCAATACCACAACAGTACAGCAAGTCATTATCAAACCATCTATGCAAGAAAGTCAAAGAGTAATAATTTGCAGCAATCACAGAGGAGTCAGGGAGCTCAATGCTGCCTTTAGATTAAATAAATGAAAATAAGTGTACAAAAGTAACTGACAATAAAAGTCCCTCTAGACAAGCAAGTACTGTTACTTGACTAGACTGCAGATGAAGAAATAGGGGTGAAAGTTGTGTTTTGAAGTGGAAGAGAGACCAAGCAAGTACTATTTACTGATTTTCATTTCTTGTGCATCCCCTTCCCTTACCTAGAACCACAGTGTAGCTCAGGTTGGAATGGATCTCACCAGGTCTCCAGCCCAACCTCCTGCTCCAAGTAGGCTCAAGCCACAAGAACAGACCAGGTTGCTCTGGATCTTGAGAGCCTTGATGGATAAAAACTTCAAAAATGCTCTAAACAGCCTGTTTCCACACTTGGCTATCCTCATAGTGAAAAACCTTTTCTTGATATCAAGCAGAGACATCCCATTTTAATTAATTACATCCATTGCTGGTAATTTTCCTGCTGCACACTTCTATAGAGAGCCTGGCTCTTCAGATGTGTAAGATCTCTTCAGTGAACATCAGCCTTGTTTAACAGCAGGACACACCACAAGGCATGCTAAGAATTATATTCTGCTAGGCTGAAACTGGGGATCAGAGCACTGCCAACCCCTGTCCCCCAAGTTTTTTCTGATCTCATTGCAAAGATCATGACACTGGAGATGACAAGACACTAAAAAAACTCCCAGCTAATTTCCGAGGATGTGAAAGGCAGCCTTTCACCACACTGAGATGAAACTTCAGCCAAACAGTTCTCCAGTTCTCTCTCCAGGTGCAAGGAATGGGATGCTTGGAAAGATTGGATCAAACCTAAACTGTTCAAAACTTGGCCAAGGCTAGACAGGCTTTGCAGCTCTCCTAAACAAGCCAGGCCTGTCGCTTAGATTGGACTAACAAAAAAGCAAACAAAAGGCCTGATTGCAGACCTCTCTAAGGACTGTTATTTGCAAGTAAAATGCAGGATCTGAAAATATAAGCAAGTACTTTCCCTGTCAGAGACTGATGACTGGTCGTCCTTCCAACTCAATCAACAAGCAGCACGACTGCTCAGCACAAGGAATGTGCCTGATTTGTAGCAGTGCTCTGGACATTTTCAGTTCATTTCAGATCATGCTTTGAAGTCCAAATCTATCAGAGCCATTCTGGATCTGACAACACTTTCAGATGTATTTCTCATGAAGATAAAACACCAAGGAAATTGCCTTTCCAATTAAAAAAAGACAGCTTTTTGCCTTTTCCCAAGATGGCAGAAATTTTGAAGCTCAAAAAGTTATTATGAAAATGCAGCAGTTCCCCAGTGGAATGAGACAAACTCCCACATCTCAGTCATCAGCAAAAGAGGAAAACTGATATGACTTTTTACACAGACTGCCATTAACAGTGAAAATTAGTCTACTCTATTGCTAAGTTTTAGCAGAACAATACTAACCTAAAAGCACATTACACTTTAGGGGACAGCTTTTTATTTTTTTTAGTATTTTTAAGTCCCAAAGCAACTCAAGAAAGACAGGAAGAAGGGGTTGTACAAGTACAAACCAGAGCCTAAGAGGTCATGCTTAGGATTTCCTCTACCACTTTAAAAAAAAAAAGGCTAAACAGATCAGCAAGAGAGAAAGGATATAAGAGAGGTCATTAAACAAATACTGAGTTGCAGGTAACAGCAGATTCAGGACGTGGTTTAATGGTGGACATGGTGGTGGTTGATGGCTGGACTTGCTGATCTTGGAAGTCTTTTCCACCCTTAATGATTCTATGATTTTTTTGCTCTCAAATGCACTGAAACTTATTTCAGGGTGCTCAGTAATTTAGTGGGTAGCCTCCATGAAGACAGTCTGTAAGGATGTTTCATGTGGTACCTTAAAAAATTCCTGCACCAGATGACAAAGAGCCCTGCAGGTCCCTCATGTCCCTCACTGCAGCTGAGCTGCACCAGGAACATTCTGAAGAAAAACCTCAATATTTGCTATTATTTCCTAAGCCAGAGTTGGTGCACATCAGCAGTAGCTCATTTTTTAGACTTCAGATGTGGGGGGGTTTTTTTTGTGTTAGAAAATCAACACCTTTCTCATCTCACCAAGAAAAACAGTTACCTGGACCACTGTGACAAATTTTGTAGATGAAAATAAAATACTTTGGAAAGATAATACCACTGCCACTACTACTACTGCTCTCAAGTCTTCTTCCTTAAGAATATTTATATCCCTACTTCAGGATGGGAAGAATAGTCCTTGAAAAAAAAGATGCACTTCAGGGTAAAATAGTACCATCTAATGAGCTATTTTTAAGAAACGAAATCTTTTTTAGGTTTTGTGGACAAAGACTGATCTGAAGCAGAATGTACTAAAATTTTCTGCCTGAGCCACAAACGTTTTGCTACCAAGGTGGTGTGGATTTTTTTTTTTTTTTTTTGTTTTTTTTTTTTTTTTTTGGTAGGGGGAGAAGTTTGACTTGGTTTGTAGTTGTGGTTTTCTGTTTGGTTTGTGGTTTTGTTTGTGGGCGTTTGTTTGATTTTTTTAAACTTGGGGTGGGAGAAAAAAAAACATCAAGCTAGAACCTGAAAAACTAATTTATGTATTCTTAAACAGGACTTTCTGGATAGGTAGAGTTAACAGTAACATTCAACATTCCTGTTTGCTCAGATTCACCTTAAAGAAGCCATAAAGAAGAGCTCATTAGAAGATAAGAGTTAAATGCAAATCAAGATACTGAAATCTTGAATTTTTCTCTTTCAGGGGTTGATTATTTCCCTACTACTAATATCTTTCTGTCTTTCCCATCTCCTCAGTTGCCCCTCTTTTGGTCCTCGTAAGTCTCATCTCAGAATCTTTTCTGGCTGGAATGCACAGAGTGGAAAAGACAAATCATTCAATCTTTCTTGTCTGTTTCTGCTGACAATACATCTTTTCCTCTTACACATACAATACCTCTTCTAGTTCACATTGTGACTGTTCTTCATATTACTGTGATCATTCTATTTCAAAGCCATCACCATAAAAAAGTTACCTGTGTTTAGACGGAAACAAACCTCCCATTCTCCACACATACTGTTTGGTCGTGAGCAATCAAAATAATTCAATCAGAGTTCAGAAAAGAGAATAAAGTTACTAAATTTCAGAATTAAAGATTCATTTGATTATTGCAATTCCAGCAGATTGCTTCAAGCAATAAATAGTCTTCAGAGGGATGCCATTTACCAAGACAGCTGGGAGGACAAAAATAGATGCAAGTAACCCACTCGCATTGTATGTAAAACAGTTGTAACAGAGAGAATGAGGGTAAGACAACATATGTCAGCAGAGCTTTCTGTTTCCACAGACAGAGCAGTTCATATTTATCTCAAAATACATTTTATAAAACACAGTTCTGAAGTGCACGAATACATTTACACAGCATTACCTACCAAAAAAAGTTATTTCTGTCTTCAACAACTGTTGTTTTAAAAATATGCAGCATCTGACCCTGTGCCACTGCAGTGATTCTGAATCCTGATGAAAGGATCATACTAACTCTTGCTATGTTGTTTGCAGCATTAAAAGCAAAAAAATTTTACTGAAAAATTACTCAGATTTCCAAACTCAGTGATTTTCCAATCAAAATTTAGAGAAAAACGAAAACATCTTAAACTTTAACAATTAAAAAAAAAAAGTCAAATTAAAAAAGGGTACAATACCTGAAGAAGGTCACTGAGGTCAAGTAACATGTCTGTGAAAGAAGTCAAGGAATATACATGCTTCTTGAATGTGATAGTATTTCTTCATTTCATTAGCAAGCCAAAGAAAGAGAAGAAATAAAACCAGGTCAACTGTCAAAGAAACCAAATATGGCTAGGTCAATTCACCACTTATGCTAACAGCCAACATCCAGTAAATTGTTCAGCTGACTTAAACACCCTGCCAGCACCTGCTGAATTTACTGCTCAAGTTGTCTCAAAGAACAAGCCAACAACTTGTGTCACCTACAGTACTCACCATACCCTGCAGACAGTGGTAAGGGGGTCCTGTGCTCTGCTCAGACCCCACCTGCAGGGCTGCATCCAGCACTGGGATCCCAGCACAGGAAGGACACTGAACTGCTGGAGCCAGTCCAGAGGAGGCCACCAAGATGGATGGAGCAGCTCTGCTATGAGGAAAGGCTGAGATAATTGGGATTGTTCAGCCTGGAAAAGGGAAGGCTCTGGGGTGACCTAATTGCTGCCTTCTGGGACCTGAAGGGAGCCTACAAAAAAGATAGGAGAGCTTGTAGTGACAGGACAAGGGGGAATGGCTTCACACAGAGAGTAGGGTTAGATTGGATATTGGGAAGAAATTTGTTAGTGTGAGGGTGGTGAGGCCCTAACACAGGTTGCCCTGAGGAGCTGTGGATGCCCCATCCCTAGATGTGCTCAAGGCCAGGTTGGATGGGGCTTGGAGCAACTTGAACTAGTGGAAGGTGTCCCTGCACGAGGCAGGGATGGAACCTTTAAGGTCCCTTCCAACTCAGGCCATTCTATTATTCTATGAAAACTAAAAACAGTAACAGCATCAAGATAGAACACCCTTACTACATTTAAGAATATAAACCACCATCAGTTTCCTATGCAAGCTTAGGAGTCCAGAAACACAGGAAGAGCAAACTAAGGAAACTGAAATAAGCTTATTTTGTTCTATGAGGATGCATCAAAGAACTGGGAAGGGAAAGCTGCTTTGGCTGCTTCCTTATCCAGCCAAGCAAATCAGCTGCTACCTTTCAGTTTTCACTCCCTTCATATCCTGTGCTGCTGCAAAATATTACATCACCATCTACTCGTTATGGGCACACTTGAAAAACATAATAGTTAAAAATAAGCCAAACCACTACAAGTTTCCATTAGATTTAACTGAAAGCAAGCACATTTATGGATGCATTGTCTGAACAGTATCCAAAATGGGGGAAGTACAAAAAGCACCATGAAGCCCAAGGTGCAAAGGTAACCCTTTTGCTGCTGTTAATGAGCACATGCCGGATGTCCTATCAGTACTCAGGTGTGGCTTACATGTTGTAAAATGGTTCTGGTTTTATTATTAAAAGGAGTGTCAGGGTAAAGTGTGAGAGAAGAGGAGAAAGTGAGAGAGTGAGGCAGGCAAAGAAAACATGTATGCAGGGCTGTATGTGAGTTTTTGTATGCAGCAATGTGTTAAGAAATCCAGCATTAAATAAAATGCAGGCACAGCAGTGTAGTTTGGTGCATACTGTGGTAAAACAAGTATTAGTGAATGTTCTTCAAGTAAGCCAGAGTAATACAGTGCACATTTCTCCTAAGCATTATCAGCTGTGGAAGGAGAGTAATTCAGATAACGTAATCAGTTTATACATAAACATGTTCCTTGTTAAGAACTTTTATCCTTGAGCGTTTCTACTCTTAGTTTGCATTTGAAATTGTATGAATGTACTCCAAATTTGTTACAAAATTTAATACATTATGTTAATATTATTTGGTGGAAATTAATTTCCACTAAAAACCACAGCATAGCTGGGTAGTTAATGAGCTGAAAATTCAGTATGGCTCTGCAAAAAAATAAAAAATCCATTATAGGTAGTATTATGCAAGACATACAGTAATCTGAAATTTTAACACAGTAAGGAAACTGCTAACAAAAACCATCTGTAAAATACACAGTTTAGAAATCCACACAGAGCAATACTGAATTCAGTGCAAATTTTTTGTAAAAGTGAAAAAAGAGAAAATGGAAAGACTTTAGCAATACAATTGCCAAGGAACCATACTGATTGTCAGCTCATCAAACAGATCTAGGAAGAAATCACTATGCCAATTTTGTGCTCAAGAAATATTCTAAGTCTGAAAATATTCCCAGCTCATTATTGACTTGAAGCGCCTGATTATTCTATGCCCACCCTGATATACTGTCTCCAATGAGACCAAGTAAAATTATCAGTCATATCTGATAGATCTCACCACAATTTAGGAGGAAAAAAGTCCTGAAACACCAAAAGAAAAGCATCTCATAGGTTATTGAGGCACCAAAGCGAACTGAGTGGTCTTAGAGCCTGGCTGCTGTCACTGGAGACAGGAGGAGTCAGGAAGAGCATCAGTGCCAAATGCTAATTCAGATTTTAGGTGAGCCAGAGAGGTACTTTTCTAACCCAGGCATTTCAGTTACAATCATGAAATCTGTATACTCAGATTATTCTTCAACCTCCTCAAACTGTTAAACACACTTTGGTGGAAAATCTAAACTTACTAACACATTACAAATGCTTAGGCTTTATTACTGCAAGGGAAACAACCCCACCTTTTTGTCCAAGAAGAAATAGAGAGAATGGGATGCATTTATAATGACACAAGATCAGAGCTAAGGAGTTGGGAAATTCACAAGCAGGGTTCAGGCAACTCTGAACCAATTTAGAGCTACACTATAGATGCTTTAACATACAGTTCCCTTGCTCCTTAGTTAGTTCAAATGTCCACTGAAATTTTAAGCAGAGGTCACAGTAAAAATGTGGTGCTTCTGGATTTCATTTAAGGTAGCCTCCAGCAATCTCTCTCCCTGATTAGATGTGCAGCTACTACAGCAAAGCAAAAGGGGAAACTTGAGTCATGCAGTAGCACTGGGTTGGCCTTTACTATGAATATTGTGGGCACGATTATCAGCAGGAAGTGGTTGTAAAAACAGGCTGTTGTTTTCAAACTCCTTTTCAGAGCTGGAACAGTTCAGCAGAACACACAACAGCAGCTGAAACCAGCAGATAATACTTAATATGTATTCAAAAATTATACAATCATAAGATAAATGTTTTCTTTGAGGCTGGAAGAAAACAATGATCACTTCACATATGGAGACTGCTACCCACATGGAAAAGCTCCTAAAGGGATGGAAAGCTACTGGTACTTTAGATATGCCCATGCAAATAACAGGGCACAACGGGACTTAGGTTATAAATGTGCCCAAATTTAAAAAAAAAGAAAAGGAAAATAGAAAGTTTTAGCAGTTTTAACTGCTTTTCTTTGCTATTAATTCTTTAAGCAAGTTTCACCAAGGTATGCCACTAACTGTCCGTCACTAGAAATGTCTAAATGTCTAAATCAAGATGAGAGAAGTCTAAAGGCATTGTTTCAAAAAACTAAATTCAAGGGAATCCTTTGCCAACATGATGCAAAAGGTCAGATCGAGTGGCCAAAATGTTCCTTTTCTGCCTTTATAATCCAAAAATCTGTGGATAATATGAGAGCTCCATGATTCACAGCAATAATGATCTCATTCTCAGCACCAGAGGAAACAAAAGTTCATGAAGAAATGAATAGTACCGGAAACCTAAAACCCAAAATACCAAAACAAGCACGCATTTGTACTTCAGAGAGACCTACATTTTACATATTCCAGCAATCCTAAAGTACTTGTGCAGCAAAATCCCCCTGATTTTCAATAGTAACATCTAGCAGGAGGCAAATCTGCCATTTGCAGGACTAAATTGTGCAAGACGCTGTTAAAATAACCACTATTATTTACAATAAAGTTGTCACTCTCCTAAAAAAAAATTTTAAAAATTAAAATCTTTAGTGTCTGACAATCTACAATAATCAGGAAACCTTCAGACTATTTCACTCTACTGTTTCTACTTCCACTGTGTAGGATGTCATATCTGGGAGACCCAGGCCCATATTAAGATGCAGGAAGAAGACAAAGGGTCTAGTATTTATTTTAGTTAGTTAGTTAGTTAGTTAGTTAGTTAGTTAGTTAGTTAGTTAGTTAGTTAGTTTTTTAAGTTACCCTTGGAATATTTTTTACTTATTTTTACAAGCTTACTACAAAAGCAGCCATACTATGGAAGGAGGACTAGTGCCAAGGAACTGTGACTGCAAGCCACTCAGCAGAAATTTAACATCCATAAAAGTCCTGCTGACTGTAATGAAGTGTCACCTTTATTCAGTTCAGGCTAAAATGCTTTTTGTTTCTCACCAAAACTAAAACCAGATCCATTAAATATATAAAACATTTAAACATAATCTCACTTTCTGTACTCAACAGCAACAATTCAGCCAGTTGTAAAGAAAGCAAAGCTTAATAGGAAACATGTCTGAAAAGCAGGATTAAAAAAAATCTGAATATTAAAACAGAATTTTCTCAAGTTCTTAATGAAAAGAAATATTTGCAATTTCAGTGCCAGGGTTCTGGATAAACTAAATAACAAATGGGAACTTCCCAGAAGCACTTTCTTTAAAAAGCACGTGGAAATAAGACAAAAGAGAGGGTAAACACAGAAGCGGGGTGATATCAGGGTGAAAAACTAGTGATAGCATTTGGCTTGCCCAGAACCCAGTTTTCAACCTTTCAGATCAACACCTAATTCACAACCTTCCCCTTCCAAAATTTCGTACACCATATGATTTCTGATTTTCACTTATCACAATTGTACCTCTGCTGCTTTACAAACTTTCACCATTTTAATTCGCCATTAATTGAGACTGACAACGCTCATTGTTTAAAGTAAACATTTCTCTTTCCAATGACACCAAACTAAAACAATTAGAAAATAATACCCAAACTCAATTCTTTTGCAGAAAACTAATTTCTGACAATTCTTAATGAAAGCTTTGCCTGGAGGCTGAATCCCCACAGAGCCAGCTTCCAAAATTTCTTTAGTCTCCAATTTTGCCTCTGCAAAGAAGTCCACGTAGCACAGGCTGCACTGGAGTACACAAATAAAAACAGCACTTAACAAATGAAACTGCTAAGCTCAAATGCTGTTTTTATAAAAAGCAGTCTTTATTTACGTGTAGATTAATGCATGATAAAAAAAAGAACTGCATTTTGGTCTGCAGGGATTTTGTTCTTCTTTGCACACAGCTGTATGACTACGTGCTTCACAGAAATGTATTGCTCTCAATTCTGTATTCTAAAATCCCCAATTTGAAAACAAAAAGCAGTGCCCCACTCCCTGCCCAGGTCTACCAGGACATTTCTGCAGCAGCTCTCTTTCAGCATGTGCAGCCTCCCTAACCTCACAGCCAAGGCAAAGCCAGCAGCAGTAACTCAGCACTGTGCAAGCACCAGACAAGCATTTGGGGCTGCATTCAGCCTGCCTGATTGCCTGGCATTAACTGAAAGGGTTACAAGTGGGGCTTTCTGGCTCACCTAGGACCTGAGCAGCCTTTGACAGCAGTTCTGCATCTCCTACAACTGCAGACAAATCTGGGCTGCTGCAGACGGGAGGGATCCAGGGCCTGCGAGCTGCATGAACTTTCAGACTCCAACGCACGTACAGTTCACACTTCCCTAAATTACTGCTGCAGCTTTTCTCAGTAATTGTCTTCGGAGTCACTGCCATTTAGAGGAACATTTTCCAAAGCGCCCAGGCTGGCTGAATGTGCAGCAAACGTTGAGCACTTCTGAAAATGCTGCCCTTGGAGAACATGGTCTTCAAAGGGCTGGGGCTAAGCTGTGCTCCCAGTGTTACTGACTTTAAGCAAAAAACCTGCTTTGTGGGGTAGTACCAAGTATTTACACAGTCACATGTAAATTTATAACACAGTAGAACACAACAGAAAAAAAAAGTAAAAAAAATACATTTCTTGTCTCAGAATACTTGTACAGTCAACTCACAATTATACAGGGTATCAAAGGGATAAAATATGCAAAGAATATCCATACTAAGCCCCTGGAAGATAATCTAGTTAGAATATTTGCTTAGGGAAAAGAAAAATTAGGCATAGAATGAAAATGTAAATATTAATTTAAAGTTCTGAGAGACACGAGGTTAATCTTCAACTTGAATTATGTGGCCATGTCTAAATAACAGTTGGCTATATTCAAACAACAAAAAGTCTCCAAACAAGAAAGAGACCCCATCCCCTGAACAGTAAATTGAACAAACACTGGTGAGGGAAAACAAGAGAGGTTGCTAGGAGAAGCAAGGTTTAAGGAGGAACTTAAAAGAAGAGCAGGGCTGGCAGATAAGAATGGGAGAGAGGCAGCAGGAAAGGAGCAAAGCTGAAGCTGCAAGGGGAAAAATAAACCAGAATAAATTATAAAATCACTGCAGAAAACACAAGCAGATATGAAAGTGCACAATCCAAAAATCTGCACCGAGTGACAATTTGATTATAAAGTGGGTTTTTACAAAGAAGCTGGGAAAAAGGACACTGATAGTAAAGTTCTAAGTAAATGTAAAGGAGTTCAGTTTTCTCTCTTTTCTGTGTGTACAAAGTCTATAAAGGTTATGACTCCTGTACCAACAGTGAAAGAAAAGCTCCACAGAAGTCAGAGGTGCAGACTTAGAAGAACTATTCTGAGATGGCTCTCAAGAATTCAGCACAGCAGCAATGCACACATTTGGAAATGGGAAGCAGCTGGCCAAGAGAAGCAGCAGAGGAAAATGACTGCCTGCTCAGAAATGGCAGAGGAAAACCAGCAGAGTCAGGAGCTTGACACTCTGCTTTTTCAGAAAACTCCAAATGCAAGAGTTTGGAAATGTGTAAAAATATGAAAAAAAAAACCAAAAAAAACCCCACCTGCCATAATTAGCTTCATTACCACACCCTCCCCATGGCTGCTATTTGTGCAGCAACATGGCAAACCAGCCAAAGGAACTGCCTGAAATTACTTGAGGTTTTTTTGCTTTGCCTTTTTTTTTTCTTTTTTTTCAGCTGGATTAACTCCCCAGTTCACATGTAACTACATGAACACCTGGGCTGATAGAAGGCAGGGGATGGACTGAGGGAGGACTGAGAAAGCAAGGCTAAAGCAATAAAAAGCAATAAAAATAACTTCCTTCTGAGGCTGTGCCAGCTCACAGTGGCTTAAAGCATTGTCCAAAACTACAGCCTGAGACAATCTCTCTGTCACCCATCCCACCTTCTCAAATTTCTCTTTAAAGTTTGCACAGTTATTCCCAGCTTGCTCCAAAACACAAAGTCATACCTCATCTGAAAGAGAAGCCTGAAAACAAGTAAGGAGAAAAAACAAGTAAGCAGTTACTGCAGAGTAACTGCTTTATAGCAACACAAAATGTTATGAAATTGATAACACCTCCCATGTTTTACATACAAACACAATTCCTGTGTGAGAGTTGCCACAGTACTGCTCTGGTTTTACCCACTGTAAGCAGTCACCTATACTTATTTTACAAAGTACCATTACAGTGCTCAGTTAAATCAGAGTAAAACCAAATTCTGTGGACACAGAACGTTTTACATTTCCCATGCCAAAAGCCAAGTGTTACATCTTAGCTTTCATACCCATCTGAGGCAAATGCACTGGTATTAGTGCTCCTGGGTGAGTTATCTCAGCAGACCTTTGCTGGGATGGGAGCATGGCAGCTGTTGTCCCCACACTGGGACATGCACACAAACTCAGATGCTGTTTTCCTGCAAGCATCAGTGGATTTTATTTATCCAGGCATAGACACAATCTAATATCATACTCATAAAACACTGTCACTCATTTAGCAAAAAAAAATTCTGACGCTACAGCCTTTGTTTAAAGAGAAAATATGGCTTCAAAAAGCATGAATTGCATCCTTGCCCTTCCGAGGCTGCTGGCTCCTTAATGGCCCTTGGTGGGAAGTCCAACAATGGGATGTGTTAAATTTCCCACTCTCAAAGGCCTTTCAGAGAACCATCTCTGCATATATCACATAACACAATGACAAACCCTGCTCTGTCAGATGCCCACAGGCAGATATCTGCAGAAAACTTTCATCACCTGCACTGCACCAAAGGGAGCCCTTGTGTTCTGGAAGTGGGCACTGCAGGAATACCTTTCTCCCTAATGGTGTATTCCTGCTGATCAGAAAACCTCACCTGGGCAGGTGGAAGAGCTCTCTGTGTCCTCACCCTCCCTCACACCCACAGCACTCCACTGGAAAATGTCAGGTGTAATGGCTCCATGGATGGCTGGCTCTCTCCTGGGGCATGGGTGGAGCAATGCTTCCACAGATACTACCAAACTGTTAATTACTATTCTTGCAGTAATGAAAGTTCGATTAAAGGCATTACAGTAACTCACAGCAACTTCCCCAGTCACCTGTGTTTTTACAGAACTTGAACTCAGTGTGGAGCTGGAAACTGGGCTCTCAGGATGAGCTCACCAGTAGTGCATGGAAGTCAGGATAGCACCCCACTTTTACAGTGGCTGAACTCCTCAAAGCAGCCTGGTTTAGGTATTATCAATAAAATTAATACAAATACATGAAGCTAAACTGATGCACTGCCTCGGTGGGTTGAAAAATCCTCAGCCCATGCTTTCAACTTAAGAAAATGCCTACACTAAACCTAAAAAAAGATTCCTGCATGTTCACTGTAGCAGAAAACTACGTAAATCATAACAGCACTGAGGTATGCTGAATTTGATTTTTATTACAGAGAGTTGCCTTATGGCTCATAAACAGCAGCATATCCCAAATGAGTTACTAAGAAAGCATTTCACCAAATTATATAATAATGCACCTTGCACTTTAGAGTACCACTGGAGGAGTGTTCAAGGGAAGTTCATTTGGCAATAGGAGAGTAGAAACTCAAATTACCTCCTTGGACAGCTACCCAGGTATCTTGGGATATGATAACAGACAGAAGCACTGAGTTAGCACACCTGAATTTACCAACCTGTGGACAAGATGCAATATGCAAACACGTCTTCACTTCTACTTCCCAGCAATGCACAAGTGAGAGATTGCCTTCAGCTGTCACTGGCGGGGTAAGAAAATACTTTCACTGATACTTTCTGTTCAGCCCAACTGAGCAGAGCTCAGTAAGAACTAAAAAAAAAACCAAAAGAGCTGCAACAGCTTTTTTAACTTTTAAAATACCAATACCAATTTAAAATACCTTTCAGGGCTAGGGACAAGTGATTCATCGTGCCTGAAATGACTACAATTATCAACATGACACATTCTCTTCAAGGACCTAATATACTGATTTTAAAGTTAAAACAAATTTATGTCTCAAAAGGTTGTTTCTAGAACAAGATTAAATTTGGTCCTTGAACAAGCATAATAGAGTAGGTGGAGGGAGGAGTTTGCATTTCTGAGATTTTAAAGGCAGCTAACTTTTCAGAGAGTTCAATTACAAGAATAAATCTTTGAGGTGATCTAGTAAGTAGGGAAAATACAGCCACAGGCATTTGATATACTTTGTACTTTATCTACACAAAAGGATGGGAAACAAATGCTTCCCTTTGGGAATCTATCTTTCCCAAGAAATTGAAAGGCATAACCCAGAGGGACTCTTGGCTGTGCCTCAGGACTCTGGATTTCTGTTTCCATTTTTGCTACTGTTCGACAAAAAACATTACCTCTTTTATAATGTTTTTATAATGAAGATAACAGTTTCCCCTTCCTTGGTAAAAATGCTCTGAAATACCCCGATTATTTAACTTCTACAATACACATTTTGACTCTGGGGTTCCCGAGTCTCCCCAAAAGGTCACAGAAACAAGCTTTCAAATATTTCAGCTATAATACCCCAGCAGGCGACTAACTTTATGGGCAACAATTCTTTTTCAGACCAGCTCCCTCCCTTTGAAAGACCCAAGCTACATCCCTTCTATGCAAATCAACAAAGAAATTTGTCCCCCTGTGCAAAACATGCAAAAGGGTTTAACAGCTAAGAGACATCCTGAATTTCTTACAATAAAGAGATGCAAGAGATATCACAGATTCAGTCCCTCCTTTCAAGTATGACAGTCCTAATTTTCATGCTTCTGTTATCCAACACACACAGCTAAGCACCTCCTACAAGAACTTAAAAATCCTTTAATTCAGTTTAATATTTAATTCGACTTTGCACCAATATGCTCTAAAAACACTTTGTAAGCATACATACCAATTTTCAGTGTTAAAAAAAAAGATAAAGTGAGTGTCAACTCCTTTGTCATTGGTTACATATCTTTATGAAGGGATCATTAAGGATAAAGGAAAACCCTTTATTGGAGCAAGGTGTGTGGGGAGAACGGAGGGTAGGAAAGGGATAGAATACCCACACTCATATCCTATGAAAACTTGGGCATTCAGTAAGCAATCTTGTACAATTCACTTGTCAAAGATACTGGAATTCTGTTGGCATTACTGTCAATATTTCCTACACTTAGGTAGGAACTCTCAAAGCATCTCAAGACAATGTTGCACAGCATCAGTTAGTGAACATACTGAAGTTCATTTACTTGTAAATGGTATTTCTCATATTCTTAAAAGTTAACAACTTTCATTAAATAGCTTTAATCAAGCTGGAAAATAAGGTATTTTCCTGAAGTGTCATTTTAAACTTTTATCCTTTTATTATCTTCTTTTGAATGCTGTAGCAATGGCAAGCACTTATCTCACGTCTCTCTTACAGCACAGAGACTGCTCTGTCATTATCAGTTTTTAAGAAGCTGTAAACTTATCTCAGCGGCTGGAATTCTTCATGAGAGGAAGCAAAAAAAAAAAATCAGTAATGATGTACATATCATCCGCCTCTGGGAAAATAAAAACTGTCAGTGATATGCTGGGAAAGATCTCCTTAGACGCCTTTCATGGCGTCTTGCAGTAGTTTTATTGTAACCCAGCAGTGTGATTTCAAATAACATTATCCAGCACGCTGATGGCAAGCTCCTAAAATACAGCTCTGCTCTGAACAACAACTGAGAATGCTATTGTGAGTCTCATGTTTACAGCTGCTCACTGATTGTGTCATATTTGCAAAGCTTTCAAGAAAAATGATAACTTTTTTCTCACCACTGAGATTTATAAATTCAGCCTAGAATTTTGCTAACAAGCTCAGTGCAATACCAGAGCTAGTTCAGAAATTGCCCCTCTTGGAAATTTTAGCTAAAAATTCCAACGTATTTAGCCAATATACTTGGAAAAGTATAGTCTAGTGTCGTAGAAAAATGAAATAGAAAGCAACATTACAACAGGGCTCCTACATTTCGGGAGGCAGCAGTAAGAGGTAGAGATGCATACAGGACACAAATATATCTACATCTTGATGACCAAGTCATTTTGTTTCCCTTCTACGCCTCAGTTTCTCCAATCTGAAGATACCTTCTCCATAAAACACTACAAATCCTACACTCCCACCAACAGGACCCTCAGCTGGGAGGAGGTAAACTGGAATTACAGTCCTACTGCCACAGCTGTTTTTGCATTAGGCCAAGAGAACAATATATAATTAATACATTTGTAAAAAACCACACAGGAGTAACCTTAAAGAAAGAAGCTGAACTAGGTATACCCTCTCTTTAATCTTGGCCGTTCACTTACAGAAGATGCCATTTGTTTGCCTTTCTCCTTGGCCTCACAATTCTCGTGATTCAGATTGCACAGCAATAACAGCCTCGAAAGGAGAATGGGCAGGGTTCAGCCCTGACCCCCCTCTCAGCTTTTAACTCCCCTTACAGAAGTGAATCTGGGGTTTGTGCAAACCAGGAACAGGCTTTAGTCACCAGTACTTTAAAAAAAACCCTGAAATTAAATCAATGAGCACCTGCTGTGTTGCCCATCAGAAGACAGACAGCTCCAGGCTCTGAGCAAAGATGAAGTCTCCATGCAGAGCACCAGCCAAAAACCCTGCTCTGTGCACAGACACAGCTCAACTGCACCCCTGTGCCAAGTGTCACCTCCCCATCAGTTTTACATGGCCCCCAACCAACACCTCAGGGACACTGGCACTGCCATGGAAGCTGCTCACTGTGACTTCAGCAAATCTGAACATGTGGTCTACCTCAGCGTTCTTAAAGCCAAGTTGTTGAGACATCATGGCTTGGCTTGCTGGCCTAGGCAAGCATTAAATTGGCTGGACTGCCAGGTTTGAAGGGCTGTGATTAATAGTACAAAGTCCAATTAGCAGACAGCTGCTGCAGGCATCCCTCAGGGACAATGCTGTCTCCATTAGCAGTGAGACAGGGAGGCAGAGGCACCCCAGGCAGGTATGCAGATGGCACCAAGCTGGGCCAGCAGTCCTACAGCAGAGGCTGGGGCTCCACTCACAGAGATCTCAGGAGGCTGAAGAACTGGGCTGACAGGAGCTGCACCTCTCTTTCAACTTCCTAAAAAGCCTCACATGCAAAGACAGAGCAACCCTTTGCTACAGTACGGGCTGGAGCTGACCAGGGAAAGAAGAGCTGGCACAAAGGAGCTGGATGTCCCCACAGAGGAGCTGAGCAGCAGCCAGCAGTGGGCTCTTGCACTGAGAAAGGCCAAACAGGTACTGAGTTGTGTAAGCAGAAGTGCAGCCAGCAGTCCAGGGAAGTGGATATTCCCCTCTATTGACTACCAGAGGCTGCACCTGGAGAGCCTTGGTCAGATCTGGGTTCTCAAGTACAACATTAGAGTGACACTGACATGGTTGAGGGGCTGGAACATGTGATTAACAAGGAAAAGCTAAGAGAGCCAGGCTTGTCAGCCTGGCTTTAGGGGACACCTAAAACTTCCTAATGAGAGGACACAGAGAATACAGAGCCAAATTCTTTTCAGAAGTAAACTGTAGCAAGAAAAATCTGTTTACATATTTGGAAAAAGAACCCTTTGGTGTGATGGTAGTAAAGCCCAGAGAGAACATGACATGTCCATTGCTAAAGACAATCAACATTCCACCAGAGCAGGGCTTCAGGAATCTACTGAGCATGTAAGTAGGGAATGGAGAAATCACGTCTATAGGCCCCCTTCTAACCTAAATTATTCTACAATCCTGCAGAGGGCACAGGCTTTTCTATGTATTTCATCACCTTCAGATACATTACCTATGCAAACATTTCACTGTATCACACCTCTAACTGCTGGAGAAACAGTGGAAAATGCACTGTATTATCTTCTGTCCTACCCTAGAGCTGTCAGTAGGAAGGACTGTTGTAATGAAACACTTCTGCCAAGCTACATTTTGAAGCTTTTTTTTTTGATGCTGCCCTCATGTTGTGGATAGCACCTCTCAGCCAATGTTCCCAGCTCCTGATGGTGCTCCCAGATTCTCCATCTGAAACAGGAGGAAAGTGACCAGTTCACAGCTCTGCTGGCAGGGCTGCCCAACATTATCAGCAGAAATCAAGGACTGGAGCATTCTCTTGTTTCACCATTGAATGACTGTGAGAAACAGCTGAGACACTGAAGCCACCCATTCAAAGTCTGAGGAATGAGAACAGCAGTAGTCAATACTTGAGTTGCTCTCCTATGCCACAGGGAGAGTTTAGAGTAAAGGTGAATTATAATAAATATTAAACTGAATGTTGACAAAAAGTATTTTTCCACTGAAAAATTATAATTTGAATATGCACTGGAAATAATTATTGGCAATGAACTGGGTCCTCCAGATGTGACAAGAATGCAGTGATCTGGGAGTCTCTCAGAGACAGCAGCACAGATGCAGTCCATCTGGTGCATCGCCTAGAAGACTCATCCTTTAAGACCAGAAGTTTTCAAATGGAAAAGAAAATTCAGCTGAGATTCTGAAGAAGTTAAAAACACTCACATGGGAAAACCAAACTTTGAACTCCAGGTAAGTATGAACTGAATGTTCTCTGGTCCCAGGTACCAAGTGAGAGGCAGCAGCTGAAACCTCCCGATGTCTCTTTAAAAGAAGTGCTCCTCAGTAATGACTAAAAATTATTTTGCATTTCTTTCCTCATTTCCCTGAGATCAAGGACGGTTCACTGGTAATTTCAATGGCAGATTTCAAAAGAAATAGTCTCAATTTAGACAGCCCAGCTCTTTTGCCCAAAAGTGAGAGTCACAGAAAAGCATTTATAATCTCACAGCCTTCAGAGCTGTATAGGCAGAACTGCATCACTCTGAAGCCATGGACTGATTCATTAAGGAAAGAAAAAAGGTGCATTTTTAATGCAAGTGAACTAGAACAGGGCAAAATCCTTTCAAAGCAAGGGTATTGTGGTGCTTTCTCAGGTAACCTCTCAAATTTTCTGCAGTCTAACTTGAAATACCAGCTCCTTGTTTGCCCTAGAGTTGTGGCACACATTACAGTCCCTGAAATGACAAAACCAACTTTGTTTTCTTTTGGAAGATGCGAGGCCACTACAGGCACAATAAAATGTTTAAAAGACCAACTGCAGAAGGAAAAATACTGTAAAACAGATAAGGTGAGAATTCCTCCTGACAATAAGACAGTGGCAATATTTGGAGTTCTGGTTTTTATGTAATAAGGACTTTTCCATTTGGTCAGTACATGTCATGTTGCTGAATATGAATTTACACTGCACAGTTTTCCATATTAAAAATATTATAGCCTAGTAGAAGTTACATGCTATTTTTTGTCCACACTAAAAGGCTTCTTTTTCTCAGTCTACATATCTCCCCTCTTTCAAAATATGCTTTCCATTATGACATATGACAACATACAATATATTGTTCGCTATTCCTCCTTGCTTATCAACACAAAAGGAATCTGAAGAGCACTCAAGATTTCTACTCCCTGGCAAGGCATAAACTGAAACTTTATTTTTGGGAGCCAAGCTGCTTCTTCATTGAAGAAACAGCAATATATCTCCATTTAAAAAATACTGATTAGCAAATCTCATACCACTTAACTAACACACACAGCCAAAACATCACTAAGACTACTGTGTTTCACCCAAACTGGAAGGATGTTGAAAACTTAAATGATTCACTTACAGCTGATCTAAAGATGAGAGCTCCGCAATTTATGTTTTATTGTCAAATGTTTAAAGGATTAAATCTAAATAAAATGCACAATACACAAGCTTCAAAGCACATGTTATCTTTAACATCTTATTTCCAATTAGCAAGTCAAAATAAAGAAGACATGGGGAACATCTGGCTTCAAAAGAAAAGCTCTGGAAGAAATCGAGATTTTGGTTCTTTTGGGCCTCATTTAAGGCTGCTATTTTCCCAGACTCTTGAAACTGGATAAGATGGAAAGATTATTCTCTCTCTCAAAGAAGGGAAAATAGCAGACATACCACCATGTGATTGAGTATTACATCATTCATACTTACAACAATACTGAGCCAGTCTGGCAGTTGAACTGAAAAGACATTTTCTTTTGCCTTCAAGGAAGGACACAGACTTGCCGTAAATGCAGAAAACTTAGAAAAGGCTCAGCTCACCATTGTACTTGGCATGAATTACAAAATGCTAAAAATATTTCATTGAGAAGCAATTCCAGTTTGAGGTTTGTGTATGAAAACTACATCATGCAAACAAAATCCTAGTGACGAACATCTGAAGGAAAGAAGACAGCTCTTGAGAAGGACCTTTACCCACTTTTAAAAGGCTTATACTTTACTAGGATGTAAGAAATCATTATCAAGACCACTTCTGAGACTGGGTCAGGTGTGAGAATGAATCCTGTTTTTACAAAACAAATTTGACAGGTAATATTGTTTCTCTGATATACCCTCACTTTGTTCTTAAGACATCAAAAACTGCAAGACAGAAAAAGCTGCATAAGTGGACACAGTTTGAGGAAACCTCAAGCTAAAATACTTGCAGATAGCAAGCACAGAAGGGCTTATAGGTCTCAACGCACTGGCTTTTGTTCACCCTATTTTGCATTACTGATCTTAATTAATCTAATAAAATGAATTTGTGTTCTGAGGCAGCATTCTTACTGCATTAAAATTCAAATACAAAATCATCTATTTTAATGAAAGAGAGCATTTAATTTTCTAATTGACTTTTAAAGTATTAAAATGCATAAAATATTAGTCATGGCTACAACCAGGAATATTTTTCACTGACTGAATCAAAAACATCAACCATAATTGATCATGTTTGCTATCTGGATTTTTAAAACAAAGCATCAGGTAACGCTTTTTTTTTTTTTCCCTTTTTTTTTTCTCCCTTAAGAGGGGCGTGGCTATGAAGGGAAGGAAGGGGAAGCATCCCCTCCTCATCCCACACCATATCCAGCATATCCTCTGACAAAAGCAAGAATGTGCTGCACAATGGCCGGCTGTACCTCACTGTTTTTATTTAGCTGGTGTTAGCAACATATTAGCTCCCATCAGGTCAAAACACCACCCAGTTATGATTCTGGTTTTGCTGACATAACCCCCAAAATTCAGATGCAGTGATAAACCATATTAAGCAGAGAGCCAACCTAATTATTTCCTCTTTTAAACAAGCTTTAAGAAGATTGTTAAATATTTATTTTCACAAGCATGCAAGGATCGCTGAAGGTCAAAGACATCAGAGGTGTGATCCCTTCCTTATCATCCCTCCTTTGTATTTATTTCCCTGGAAGGAGGCCTCTCTGCCATCACACTTCCCTCCCCTCATCCATCACCCAGGACTCATCCTGACGTTGTTCCTGTGGTTATCCCCCATTCCTCTGCCACCACCAGAGGCTTCACGCCCTCTTAGTGCTGCCAGCGAGGGCTGTCCCTTGTACTTCTACCCGGGAATTATGGATGCCTTTGGATCTCTCCCTGCTTCTGCTTCTTCCCTTGTTTCACCTTTACCATGAGAATGTCTCATCAGTTCAGACACCCCAAACTGGAAACAAATTACTCAGAGGACAGACCATGCAATTAATTTCATTAATTATTATTTTTATATATTCAATAACAGACTGGTATTGCAGCAATTAAAAATCTGGCTCAGATGCTTCTGCTGTATTTCTGGGTTACACAAGGTCTACATGGTGATGGAGCACAGGGTTGCCAAACACTTCTCCTACCCACACACCATGTAATTCAAACCCACAGTGACAAAGCCTTCAGTGAATCTGCTCCAGAAGCCTGACCCTTCATTTCAAAGGTGTTTGTCCCAACACAGGAAGGTATGATGGGCAAGGGCAAAGGACCTCCAGAATGAAAACAGTGTAGGTGCAGCAGCTCTACTGACTGTAAACTCCAAGATTTTCAGCTGTCATGGAACATCCCGAGTTCAAAAGGACCCACAAGAATCATCAAAGTCCAATTCCTGACCCTGCACAAGACACCTCAAGAATCACTCCATATGTCCAAGAGCATTGTCCAAATGTTTCTTGAGCTCTGTCAGCTTTGTGCTGTGATCACGTCCCTGGGGAGCTGTTCCAGTGCCCAGTCACTCTCTGGGTGAAGAACTTTTTCCTGATATCCAACCTAAACCTCCCCTGACACAGCTTCAGGCCACTTCCTTGGGTCCTGTCACTGGGCACCACAGAAGAGACATCAGTATCTGCCCTTCCTCCCCACAGGAAAGTTACAGGCTGCAGTGAGGTCTCCCCTCAGCCTCCTCTTTGCCAGGCTGAACAACCCACAAGACCTCAGCTGCCACTCATAAGGCCTCCCTTCACCATCCTCATGGCCCTCCTTTGGACACTCTAACAACATATTTTTTTTTTTTTTAATATTCTGGTGCCCAAAACTGTGCCCAGGACTGGAAATGAAGCTACCCCAGTGCTGTGCTTTGAGAAAAAACTGCCCAGAAAGAGACTTGAAACACACTGCTCTGTAAAGCAATAAAGTATTTCTGCAGACGGATTTCAAAAGAGTATTATTTTGACCTCTACAGTTCAAAATTTCCCTTAAATGAGGAAAACAAAGCTATCAACACCAGCCAAAATTTGTAATCTTGATAGGCCATCTTGTGACCCTGCCCCCTCTCCATCTCTGCAGATGGTTTGTTTAATGCTGCATTATGGAAAAGCTGACAGTTCGAGCCACCTGCTGTGTACCAACATCCTGAAAGGAAAAAAGTTGGTCACCCCTCTACACAAAAGCTGGTGAGAATTTCATCAGTGAATTTAATGGGGCATGATCAGGTCTCTCCTTGGCAGGACCAAAGGTCAAGCTCTATTTTATCCAGAGTTAGTAACAAGTGAACAGAAAAGCAAATTTTCAGAGTGTGCAGTTCTCAAACAAAACACTAGCCTGAGCACACACATATGCGTGCAAAATTGCAGTCCTCCTGCTTCTTTTGGATGATATATTTAGAAATCCTATTAGCTGTAGAGATCAACATTCTTATCTGAATTTCCAGGATGCTGTAACATGCAAAATTAGAGCAGCTCTCTTAAGTGGGTCAATTATCACTACTGCATTTACAGCAGCTTTTCCCCTCCCTCCCTGCAGCATGTAATGGGCATTTAGCACAAGGATTTAAACAGTCAGATGTTGAGTTGACACACACCACAATGTAAAGTTCCCTTCCCCTTTCATATTTTCAGAATCGTAAAGGAACAAAGGAAGTCACCCAAGTACAGAATCTCCACATTAAAATTGCAGTCTCCCAGCAGAAAGCTTCAATGACTTCCAGAACAGGGCACCCTGCAGGATAATTCCAGTCAGCAATCACACTCACTGTTTTCCTGCCACATCTGAGTCAGACACAAGTAAGGTTTATGGCTTTCCCCTCCAAGGGACAAGAGGAGAACCTGAGGGCCACTAACCGTGTCCCCAGCCCTGTCCCCAAGGGTGAAAGGCCATACAACCAGTTTGAAAGGCTTCAGGTTATTATCTCCTCAAGAAGGAATTCTCTTTAAAAAACACTGCAAACCACCAGACACAAGTGGAGCAATTCAAGTACCCAGCACCACTTCAGATTCTATGAAGACATCGAGAGCAAACACAGGCTCTTCTGCAACACAGCAGGAGGCCAGGTGATATAACTGAGAGGCTCCTTGTGCCTCACTGTCCCACTGCTGCCCATCCATGAGCAGCCCTGGCAGAAAGGGGATGCAGCAGGGAAGAGGAAAGAGCCACACAGTGGAATATATAATGTCAATGAGCACATGGAAAGGAAAATTTTACTTTCCCACCAACTGGAAACACGAAACACATCATTCTCTCAGCACCACACTTGCTTTATACATACCACTTTATAGGGAAAAAAAATGTGTGAGGCAGCACTGCAAGTGAAAGATGATATGATTCTCCTTCCTTCCATGGAAAAGCAGACTGGATATGCAGGCTTCAGGTCATGAGCCCTGCTGTTGAAATTCAACAGGTCCAGCCCTGGCTGGAGGAGAGGGTGATGGGGAGAAATTAAGGTGCAGAAATTAAATTTCTGTTGCTGTCCCTGGCTGCCCTCTTCCCTATATGTCCAGCATTTTCTCGTGTGGTATTAAATAGGAATGATCACAAAAGCCAAGCATTACCAAACACCTAACTCTTTGGAAATCTATGCAAATGACATGGAGCAACAACAGTCACACCCTATTTAAGGAAGCAATTTTTTCTTACTAGATGGAAACTCTTCCAGCTAAAATCCATCCACTCAAAAACAGAGCAATTTTAAAACTTCATTTTGAAATTAAGTGAACGAGGCTTTTGCAAACCTTCAAGTCCAAGCAAATGCTTCATTAGGAAACATTTCTTCACCAAGAATGTGGTCAAACACTGGAACAGGCTTGCTAGAGAGATGGTCAAAGCCCTCAGCCTGTCAGTGCATAAGAAGCATTTGGAAAATGCCCTTAACAACATGGTATCATTTTGGTCAGCCTTGAATTGGTCAAGTGGTTGGACTGCATGATCACTGTAGGTCAGTTCCAACTGAAAATATTCTATTCATATTACTATGAAGATCTTGGTGTCTCTTACCACACAGTGAAATGAAGTAATTTGCCTTAGTAAATATTATATGTATTTTAACAGTGCAATTTAAAATCCATTTTTATTCTCATATGTCCTTGTCACAGTCCACACTTGAACAAAACACATTTTCAATGCAACACTACTTAATAAAAAAACTTAAAAGGTCAGTTACTAAAAAGAAAGTCCTTAACCAGAGAGAAATAGAAAGTGGTTTTATTAACCTCTCTAACCAGAGCTTTAAAATTTTCTTGATTAAAGCCTAATTTCAAAAGTTAACTTTTTAATCAGGAACACCAGGGCCTGCTGGCTCCAGGAAGTTTTACTGGAGGTCAAAAGATTACTGGAGATCTAATTTTTCATTTCTAATAAAAAAGGAAGTCTTGCCCTTTTCCTTGCAAAGACAGACCTTGAAGTGTTAGTAGAGAAACAAAGAATGTATCCATCAAAGGTTCTCATGGCGAGGCTGTACAAAGCTTCCCAAGACAGCATGGAGCTGACAGAGCTGCTAATGCTCGACAGGGAATTAGCTGAGTTCCTCCTGCAAAGACCAACATAGCAGAAAAGCCCAGTAGCTGCTGCCTAACCAAAGATTAAAGAGACCAGTTCCTCATTCCATCACAGATTTTCTGGGTAACTCTGAATGTGTCACTTAGCCTCAGTTCTGCACCTGGAAATGAAGATAAATACTCACAACTTCCCTTTCTGTGACATGAAAATAAACACATTAAACCAGGAGACTTTCAAATAACTTGGCAATAAAATACAAGTACTGCAGACAGATAGGAAATAACAAAGTGCTGCCCCATTCAGCTGCCCAGCTTTTTCCCAAACCCTTCTTGCCTGCTGGGATCTGGCAATGCCTTCGTGATCTTCCTTCAAACAAAAGGGAGGTTCACAGGGCAGAGGAAGCCAGGGAGGAAAAGCTCCTTATGCTTTCCCACCCAGCTCAAGTTTACATCTGAAAGACTTCAAGGCACCAAACGTTCTCCTGACAGCCTTCTGCTCCCAACGCCCAGAATGAAGGTTATTTTTCTTATACATTTATCAGAAATGTTCTTTTGCAAACAACTCAGGAGAGAGGCCTCACTTGGCTGCCTTGGTCTGACCCCAGGAGGATACCACCTCTGTCCTCTGACAAAAAAAAAGCTACCAAAGACCTCTGAATAACTCAACCTGTCTCAGAGGCTGCCCAGCTCAGAGCCCCCTGTCATCAAAACTGATCAGCTTTACTGGAAGGAGAAAAACCTGCCCTGAATTTACCGTCAGAGGCAAACAGAGGGATATTTACACAAGATAGCTGGTGAGGGAACTTTGCAGGGACTCTTCTCATGTGGAAAAGGATTTATTTACTATTGACAAGACAGGATTTAGTTTACAACTAAGGGTGCATTTTTCAGAGAGCTTCAAAGGAAAATAATAAATAAATGGCATAAAAAGTGTATGTGTGTGGGATAAAAGACATTTACCATGTAAAATGTTGCTATAAAAGACCCCAGGTGGTAGCATTGGAAAATATCACAATATCACACAAAAGAGTGGACAGTTGTACAGTTTTTCTAACTGCTGGTTACAGTAACAGGATTTCAAACAGAGTGAAATGTTCCTTAATTAAAACAAACTGATATCCCACCTGGAAAATCCTGGCCAGGCTGTCATTGTTCCTGAGTGACCCTGGGGCAGCCACAGGTTACAGCTGAGCCCATAAGTCACTCAAACACCCTGCCTGGCTCTTCCCAAGTTCTCTCTCTTGGGAACAGCGAGACCAGCTAAAGCGCCCTTTGTTTCCATTCTCACATGTGTAGGGGTGGAAAAGCTGTTCAAAACATTACAGAGAAACAACTGAGGGCTGTTACTATTCCAAGAAACAAATGAAAAGCCCGAGTCTGAACTGCCCGGAGCGTTGGCAGTGCCAGACAAAGTCAGACGTCACTGGAAACGCTCAGCACGGCTCAGGCCCTGGAGGGGGACAGCAGGTTCCATCACACCTGCGGGTTTAAACCGTTCACATGGAGTTTTTGCATTGTGTCTTTACTTCTGACACTGATAACAGACACATCGACACATTTTCTAAAGAGAATAATAAATTGAAGTTTTTATAGGCAACTCATCAGACGGATGAAACACCTCCCAGATCCAGCTAATAGCTAGCAAGCTGTTTTCCCTGGAAAACATTAACACTGACAAGCAATAAAGGAAGGCAAATGAAAAGCTATGCCAAAGTGGCTGCATTGTGGGGGTTTGTGTCATATAACCTAATAAAAACCGTAAACTGATGTAAAATCAATTCACATCTCAAATAATATATACAAAACTTTCCAAAGGATTAAAAATAAAAGCTGCTCTTCAGATAAATAAATTTTTATTTTCTCCTTAAATTCTGGAACTACTTTTTCAGATTAAAAAAAACCGAGTTACCAGAATATTTTGCATTTTTGCATTAATTAAATAATGCATAAGAACTAAGGAGAACATAATGTTTTCCTATTTCAGGCTGAGGTTTATTCAGGCATAATTCAGATTGCACTAGTAGACTTGGCTACAGTATTCTTCACATTTTCACAGAGGCTGGCTGGCGACATGTGCATTATGAAAAAAAGAAGAATAAGCAGATAACCATGTCAGATAAATACATTCCACACCCTCAAACTGAACTCACAGACACAATTAAATTCTCTTTTCCCTCTCCAAATGCTTCCCACTCCTTTGGTTCTGCCACAAGAACACAACATTTCTTGTCACTTCAGTCCCTTACTGCATCTCCCTGTTCCTCCCCAGGCATTTTTGCTCCTTCTACCATGCAATTTTTTAAGAAACATGATGTCTTCTACTGCTAACACCATTCTGTTCCCAGGTAACATCTCTTGCCTCCACAACTCCCAAGTCACTCAGATAATTCATTTGGGCCACTCAGAATTAGTGAGCTGTCTCTCAGTTCTGAGGATGTTGCTGCCCTTCACTACTTCTTCCATGTCACCTGCTTCCTCTAAAATACTTTCACCAATCTTCAGCCTTTAACTTCCTTTTCTAAATTTCTCCCACATTTCTTTGTTAGAATTCTAAAATTAACACGGTGACGATGAACACTTTAAACTCAGGAACTCGGCTGAGCAGTGTATTGAAATGTTGAAGTGTTAAAAATACTGCATGTCCTTTGTACAGAATTATTCAATGTACTGCTCCTCTTTCCAAGCCTTCCTTGTCACCTTCTCCAGAAGACCAAAACCAGTAAGTTTATTACCCTGAATATGGATTTTAATTCTTGATAAAGCACTTTGTCACATGGCCACCCTCTCTACACCTGCTCTTGGCCCCTCTGCTCCAAAGGCCCTGGAACACCCCTGTTCCTGTGGCCCATGCCTGCACTGCCAGATGTAAGCTGGGAACAAGCAGAACATGCTGGTAGTGATCATCATAATTAATCTATGGAGTCTTTCTAATTTCACTTTCTAATTTCAAAGGTCGGCAATTTGCACCTGTAGCCCTTGGGTTTTCAAGTTTCTCATGAAAGGAAAAGATACAAGAAAAGGAATTTATATTTCAGTGTTGAGAGTCCATAATTTATTTGGGCTTTTGTTTTTTAAACTATACTGGATTTTAAATAGTAATAGAAAACAAAACAAAATAAACAAGCAAAACAAAACCACAGTGGAACACAGGTAGAAGCTGAATGAACTCCCTCTCCCAAAGTGACAAAGGTTAAATTCTTGGTATCAGCTACAGAATTAAGTTTATCTAATGGATTTTTTAAAAAATTAACACTAAAAAAATTTACCTGTATGGACATGCACAACAACCTTTTCAATCCCAGGTACCACAGTAACTGTGCAAATGAGGGTGGAGTATTATTGAACTCATCTTTGCAGTTTTATTCATACTTTACTCCTAGTATTTTATGTGAAGTACCACACAGAACGTTATCTCCATTTATCAAGGAAAGCTGGGAAATTCATTTAGGGATTTACTAAGTGTCAACCAGACCAATGTATCTTGCACATAAGTGAGATATATGCTGAAATAGTTTAAAGAAGGTTAAGAAACAAGTAAATTATTTTTGCTTTATTTGTTTGCTCCACGTTAGCTACACTTGCTGCACAGATGGCTGTACATTGCACCTATCTGCTTCTTACAGCCCTCATTTCTTCAAATACTTGTTATCACTATCAGTGGGGAAAAATAGATTTGTGTATTACAGCTGGGCTATCATTCAGAAGTATCAAATAACAACTGTAAATAAATTACTTTAAACATGACATGAGTATAACTATAACACAAAATCATAAAAGGGATCTTAGAGATAATTTATTTTCAACATCCCTGCCATGGGCAGGGACAGACCAGGTTGTTTAGAGCCCAACCTGGCCTTGAACACCCCCAGGAATGGGGCAGCTACAGCTTATCTGGGTAACCTATGCCAAGCCCTCAGTTCCTTCGCTTTAAAGAATTTTTTAATAGTTAATGTAATCCTACCCTCTTTCAGGCAGTTACCCGGAAGATATATTATCAAAATATTGGTAACACCTTAAAGTCAACACTGTCTTTATAGCAGTGATAGAGTGCTACTGTTCAAAGTTCACGTGGAGACTGTACAGTAGGAAAGACCAGTATAATAGGCAAGCCTACCTTTTAATTGCATTATTCCTGCAAAATCACATTTTTTTAAACATGCAAATACAATGGCCACAACACTACTACATGAAAGTAAAAAAAAAAAAAGTAGTAGAAAGCACTACTTTTAGAATACTGAATATAGTTTCTGAAACGATAAAAAAATCATCTAAATCTTAAAATGAAAGCTAAATTGTTCAACTGCAAAAATATAGAATGAGAGCAGCAATCTGGAAAAAGCATCAAATTAGAATACTGAAGATGTGGACATACTATTTTAAAGTAGAAAGGAACTAAACACAGAATTGTAGAATGATGAAATGATAGAATGGTTTGGGGGTTGGAAGGGGCCTTAAAATACAGTTGCAACCCCTCTACCATAAGCGGGGACACCTATTTACTTGACACAAATTTACTTGAACCACAGGAAACATTCCCATTCACTTCAATGTATAAAACCAACAACGACCAAGTCAGCTCTTAAACACTTACCTTTTCACATTTTGAAACAAGGTCTAAGTGGGACAGTTGACTTGCTAAAAGTCTACTATTTATTTATATTTTACGACTGTGAAAGGATACGAGGAGTTCCTTCTGTCCTACACACCAGGTACAGACAGGCAGCAATGATGTGGGTCCTCTTTCTGCCCCGGGTTAGGTGTTTGCTCACAGCCATCTTGAAAAAGTTAAAGGCAGTATCCAGACAATGTTGATTGAGTTGAAGTTGATTTCCCAAGTGGTGAATCTGACGCTTCCCTAGAAAAATTAACAAGGAAAAGAAAAGCTTAACAACTATGCAGTTAATGTGCTTTCAGGTTGGGGTCTTTTAGTGTTGGGTTTTTGGGGTTTTTTGAAGACAAAATTAAGGAGGCAGATTTTGGATTTCATCTCTTTGTGAAATACAATGGCCGCTCAAGTTTCAGGAACTATTTAGCCTCGGCTCCTCAGGACAAAAAAAAAAAAAAAAGCCTTGTTTTGGACTGCTAAAATTGAAACACATGCAATCAATGAGCTCTGGAACACTCAGCCACAAATATCAGTCCCACAGAGAATCCAAGACACAGCCAAGACTTCTCAGACAAAAGATTATGCCCCTCTCCCTTAACATCATTTGCCAATTAGCACTTGATTAGCTGTAGCCAAAACCAGAGGTCATTATGTGTTTGACATTGACATGCAGAAAGAGAATTTTGCTGCAGCTCTCCAAGAAGAGATGGAGTTTGCTGTTCCTCTGACCACAAATGAAGTCCACAAGCAAAGAACTCTACTCCTGGCTTGCCTGTGATCCCAATGATGGGAGGCACTTCCTTCCTGCAAACACGTTTGCTGCCCAGCCTTCATTTGAGGCTTGCCTGCCAGACTACTTAGGTTAGCTTGTGGCTTCAGGAAACAAATGTGCCTTCACCCTCAAATAAAACAATAAAAAGAAAAAAAGTGTGTTTGGGATGATTCATGGCAGGAAGTGGTCCAGCTGCTGGGACAGATGCGGGAAGCAAGGTCCAGTCCGTCCCCACAGCTCCAGCTTCAGAAGAGTGTGCCGAGAAGACAGCTCAAGAAAAAGATGGGGGAAGTCACGAGGAAAACACAGCACTCAAGTTCCTCAGCATATGGGGTCAGACAGCACATCAAGAAAAATCCTTTCATTCAATGTGCTGGGCAGATGTTTCCAGCACATGTATTTACAAGAAACTCTCATCTGTTCCCTTCAGAGATGACAGGAGCAGCTTGTGGAAGGGGCACAAAGGTGTCTGCCATACCCACCACTGCTCACAGGAAGCAATGGCAACCACACAATGCTTCCCAGGACACCACCAGCTCCTGCACAGACCACACACCTTAATTTTAGGCAAATCCCTACACCATCATCACTAATAACATGGTCAAAATGCTTCACCTCTGAACAACCTTTTGCCAAAGAAGCTGGTTTTAACAAGAAGTGACTCCAGCCAGGCAGCTGGGGTCAGCAGGACTCTGGCCAAACAGGAGCTGCCACAAAGCAGCAGCTGCTGCTTCCTGCACACGTGGCAATTATTGCACTCAGCACCAAGATATCCTTTAAGGCACACTGGTCAACTGGGTGTAACACGTTTGGTTGTAAAGTAAGAGCAAGGGAAGGATCCATCACACTCCATGGGAGGTGTGGGCACGATAAGCTACTCAAGGGTAATCAATAGCCCATTAGGGGAACAGTTTTTCCACTGCCATCAGCAGGCTCTGGACTGGCACTCACCAGCCTCGAATACAATTACCACATCTTCCTAAAATTAAGGTAGTAACTAGGACTTGGGTCTTTCCATAATTTTATTTCACACTCTACAGTCTGTATGTTGCTTCTTCTGTCCTTAAGAATCAGTTTATACTCATCTGTGGGGGAGAAAATGCACTTAAGTACTAAAAACTCATTTTGCAGTGGCAGCAAGCAACTTCCCTTCAAAAACAAAGAACATACCAGAAAGAGGGAAAAAAGAATAACATACAGGAAGATACCTGAAATTAATTTTTTTCATAAGCTATTTTCACCACTGAGCTGCTCCCATCCCCAAGCTCCCATTAATATTCTGAGTATTTAACCTTTTCTTAATTTCAAATGTTGAAATATAATAATTAATCATAATCCATCCTAAGAAAACAGTATGCTTGTTTGAGTAACATATACATTTTTAGCTGAGCTCTTCATCCACCATTGATATTTTAAAGTAGAATTACTTTAGGGCTAATTGTCTACTGA